ATAAAATAATTGCGACTCGATTTTGAAGTTTGTCAAACTTTTTCACATTCAAAACTTTCCCACAAAGAGCTTTAAATATGTTACTTAATTCAATTATAATTGAAATGACTTGCTTTGATATTGATGAACATAAAGTAAAATGAAGTAAATCTTGTATAAGATGTGGTAATCATGTGACTTCAATGAAAAAAGTTTTTGTTCTTTTAAATTCAAACATCTCGATATATTTGATGCATAGCCATTTGAGACTTTCACATTTTTAACACCTTATAAAATACATCTTTTTTACTTTTAGACATCCCAAAACAAGTAGGAGGCAATCGAGATTTTTCATTAAGAAGCAACTTTAGATGAAGGTCAGGGCAAATCCCTATGTCAACTAGGTTAAGCCAACTCTTTAAGTTATTATTGGATCTTCTATTCACATTGAGTATTATCCTGATAAAATTTTTACAAACATTCTTCTCTATGTGTATCAAATCAAGGTTATGACATAATAAATTATATTTTCAATGAGATAAGTAAAAAAAGGTACTTTTTTTTCCATAACTCAGACTCATTTGAGTCACCTTCTTTATCTTTTTTCTCTTCACTTTGAATATCAACATTACCAACTTGAGTATCAGCATCATCAATTTGAGAAATACGAAGCCAAATACCTTTAAAGATCTCTCTCACTCTTTTTTTTTATTGAGTAATTTTTTTTTATAAATGAAATTGCTACATTTTAACTTTGATAAAATATTAGACCCAATAATTGGCAATGACGCTCTCCTTAACTCTTCATTTTCATCAAATAGATGCTTTTAAAATCTAAATTGATGATTATTATCTAACCATTTATGATGTGCCTTATAACTGAACTTTCTACCATTATGTAACCATTTTGAATATGTCTGTACAGTACAACATGAACAAGCATAATGATCTTTGATGCTTTAACTAGATAAATTAAAATAAGTAAAAAAATCATTGATAGTCCATATTAAGGTAGCACGTATATTAAAGTTTTTTTTAAGCATCGTAAGTCTCAACTAATTCTCATAACTACTTTAACTTTTCAATCGAAGATTGTAAGTAGATGTCTATATCATTTTTTATACATTTCTTCTTAAGAATTATCATAAACAAAATAAATGATTGTTACTTTATGGCAATCCATGATAGTAAATTATAAGGAATCAATATAACTAGCCAAGTACTATAAAAAGTACTCATCACTTTGAATGGATTGAATTCGTCAGATGCTAGTCCAAGTATAACATTTTACGGATCAGAAGCAAAGTCTAAAAACCTAGAGTAAAATGATTTTTATGCCAAAAAATCAACAGGATGCCTCAATGATTCATCATTCGTTCATTCATTATGATGTCACTTCATAGAATCTGCAGTTTTGAAAGATATGAAGAGTCGTTGAAGTCTCAATACTAATGAAAAATATCGTAAAACCTTTACAAGTTTTTTTTGACATGAACTTTATCATCATCCTCATTCAACATTTCTTTAGGTTTTTTGTTCAACCAATGAAAATTATCACACATATGATGAAATTGTTAATTTTTTTTATAACCCTAATATAACATGCAATCATTGGGACAACTATGAATTTTTTTATATCCAAAAGCTAACTCCTTGATCATCTTTTTTGAATCCTTACAAGATTCAGAGATTTTTGCAAAAAAAAATATTTCTTTTATAAACTCCACTAATAAAGTCAAAGAGTTTTTTGTCCATTCACATAAGCATTTTAAGTAAAAAATATGCATATAAAAAGATAATTTTGAATACATAGATCCCTCATAAAGTTCTTTATTCATATCCTCAAGCAACTTATAAAACTTTGATACCTCTTCATTAGGTTGTTGGTCACTTATACCTATCTCATGTTTACAAAAATCTTTAATTTTAATATTTGACTTATTAAATCTATCATTTCGAGGAGATGAATTATGAAAATATTGGTTATGAATGTTAAAAGCATCTCGTAACATACCTTCTATGTCATCTTGTCTAATAGGATAATGTTGGTATTAGGGAGCCTTTGAAGTTAAAAAAACTCTAGTTACTGACCTAGACGGTATAGACTCTCTATGAAAATATCAAATAACATATCCTGAGATAAATCCAATACAAACTAAATGTTTCAAAATAACTTTACGGATTTGCCAATTGATATTAGCACACTTCAAACATAGGCATAATATTATATTATCTTCACTTGCATTATCAAATGTAAAATTAAAAAAAATTTTCACTCCATCTCGATATTCTTGACTTAATCTTAACTTTTGTATCCAACTCTTATCCATTTAGTACTTGCTACATTATCAAACTAAAATTATATAATTAATTATATGAAAACAAACTAAATATTACACTTAAATTAGTAACAAATTTAGATCTCCTAACAAGTTACTTGAATTAATCAAAGGTGATCATTTGTTGAAATGAGAAATACCTTCACAAATTCAAAACACTAATGGGCAAATACAAGATTGATAAAAATGAAGTAATTGATGATGAGCAAACCTTAATCTCAAACTGAAAATAAATAAAAAAAAACATGTCAATATTTTTACATATTAATATATAAGATGAGAAAAAAATTGAAAATAAACAGTCAAACATAAGCAAAAAAACATTTGACAAAAAAACATTTGACAAATAGTTGTTTAAAATACCTTTATCTTTACCATCCTTAACAATAAGGTGAATGAATCACCTTAGCAATATTTTTGAGCAATAGTTGAATTTTGTTTGACTTTTTGAATTGACTGAAAGAGTTAATATTGAAATTATTATACCCTTGATGCAACATGTTTGCTCTTAGTGTTGAGTTTTCTTTTATAAAGAACCCAAAAATTTGGCCATCAAAGCTAGCTGACTTCAGGTAAAAATCACAGTACCATACCAAATTTGAACCATAAAGTATAGATACTTTCAATTTATTAAATGTAACTTATTGCTTTCAATTTATTTCTTATAACGATTTTAGCCTCGAGAAATCTTAAAAGAGAGACAAATTACAGTTAAGATTCAAGTGTACCTAAATAAATGGAGAGGAAATTGATCTTTATTGTCTGCAAATTGCAAATGATTTCAGTAACAAACCAAGCCTTGTCTCAAGCTCTACCAGTTCCTTAAGCTTTGCAAATTGCAAATAATTTTAGCATCTCAAGACTTTGCTTGCTAAGAAAAAATTTGCATGGAAAGGAAATCAATGAAAAACAAGAAGACCAAGGCTTTAAACAAAGAGGAAATTCATAAAAAAAAAAAACAATTAGGCTAAAATGAAAAGAGTCAACTGAAACATGTAGAATGCATATGGCAGAAACAACAGGGTTTGAGAATTTGGGAGAATTTTTAGTAGCGTTTCCTTTTTAAAAATGTGACTAAATACCTTATTTAGTGGTGTTTCCTTTTAAAAATGCCATTAAAATACATTTAAAATGAAGAGTTTTATGTTACTGAAAATAATTTTATTGAGATTATTCAATGTATTTTTACTCATTATTCAAGGCATTTTTGCCCATTATTAGGGTTATTCAAGGTGTTTCTAGTAAAAAATACCTTAAATAATATTCTTTCTTAAAAAAAAATTCAAGGGATTATTGAAGGTATTTTTTGTTAGAAACACATTGAATAACGGATTATTAAAGGTGTTTTTGACCAAAAATGCCTTGAATAACCCCATGTTATTTTATATGGAGGGATTATTTAAGGCGTTTTGACCAAAAATGTCTTAAATAATCTCCTGTTATTTTTTTGAGATTATTCAAATCAATGCATTTCTGACTAAAAACGCATTCAAAAATTCGTAATAAAAATAGGACGGGATTATTTAAGGTGTTTTTGGCTAAAAACGTATTCAATAATCCTTTTCAATTTTTGTGAGGGGATTATTTCAGGCTTTTTGGCTAAAAATGTATTGAACAATTCCTTAAAAAATTGATTGAGATTATTCAAGAAGTTTTTGACCTAAAATGCCTTGAATACTCCATTTCATTTTTTATTGAGGATTATTCAATACGTTTTTAGCCAGAAACGTCTTGAATAATCTCTTAAAAAAATTGAATGGAATTATGCAAGATATTTTTTGTCTAAAATACCTTGAATAATCTCATTCCTTTTTTATTGGAGATTATTTAAGATGTTTTTGACAAAAAACACTTTGAATAATTATCTACTAAAAACATTGGAATAGCTTAGTCAGTTAAAGTGTACGGCTATTAATCATAAAATTTTAGGTTTGATCTCTTACTCTAATATTTTGAGGGTTTTTTAAGGAGTCAAAAAATGCTTGTTAGCAATATTTACATTATAATCGCTATTATATTTATAAAAATCAAAGTATATAGCAATATTTAAGTTAAAAAACACTACAAAAATATATTTTTAGTGACGGTTTTAAATCCAAATATCGATATATAAGAATTTAGTGACGTTTTATAAAAAAAGCCACTAATCTTATAAAAACACAAAATTTTGTGGTGTTTATTTAAAAACATCGCTAAAAAATAGCCACTAAATCTCTATTTTTCTGTAATGATTTGTGAAATTTAAAAATTTTACACTTGATGTATGAAAAAAATAATCTAACCAAAAAATAATTTTAGGGCTTTTAAAGTTATTTAATTAAAATCTTAATGCAATAAAAAATATATTTATTAATTTTAAATCTGGTATAAAAATAATATAATTTAAAATTTTAATAAAAATTATATAAATATTTAATAAAAATAAAAAATATATTTCATATTTTACATATAAATATAAATTATAATATAATACTTTTTTTATTTTATATATTTAATACGAAATAAATAAACAGAAATGCATAAACGGGAATCCAACAAAATTTAGCAATATCGCACGTTGAGCGTACTGATTTACAACGACAAGAAAAGAATAACAAACAAATGCGGTGATAGAGTTGTAATTAAACCACTTATCAAGGGCGTTTACGGTGCAAATCATATATAAATATCCGGAGCCGACGATGGGCAATATTGTTCCCGAAGGTCCTCTTTTTTATAATTAAATGTTTTTTTGTCCTTTATTTTCTTAATTTTGTCAGTCACAAACGAACCCTAACCCTAAATCTTTCTTTCTCGATCTTTTCTTCTCACTCTTCTTCTCTACCGCGAAGATGTCTCACTTTGGAAGGTCAGGTCCTCCCGACATCACCGACACTTACTCTCTTCTCGTCCTTAACATCACCTTTCGTAAGATTCTTTCTCTCTCTCTCTTGCCCGCTCGTTAACTTCTCGGCTACGAGTTTGTTTGTACTGTAACTTAAACCTTTGATTTGGTTTGAATCTGTTTAGGCACGACCGCTGATGATTTGTTTCCGCTGTTCGACAAGTACGGGAAGGTCGTCGACATCTTCATTCCCAAAGATCGAAGGTTCTTCTTCTTTCTCTCTTTTTTTTTTTAATTTCTGTTTGGATGTTGGGAATTTATGAGATAATATTTTTTTTATTATGTTAGGACTGGTGATTCTCGAGGTTTTGCATTTGTGCGCTATAAATATGCAGATGAGGCACAAAAAGCTGTGGAGAGGCTCGATGGTAGCCCTTCTTCTACTCTATCTCTCTTTTCCCATCATGCAAGCACTTTTGTGCGTATTGATTGCGATATTGTATTAATTTTGTAGGTATCTCATTACGATATATAATGACACGTTCCTTGTTGCAGGGAGAGTCGTCGATGGTCGGGAGATAACAGTTCAGTTTGCAAAATATGGGCCCAACGCAGAGAGGATGTAAGTTGTGTGCTAGTTGTCATTCAATTATTATTGAATTGCTTTTACACTTGAACGGATTTTGAGCCCAATGTAGAGAAAATGGATGCCGTGTAATATATTCTTTGGTGAAAATGTGATTTTGATTCTTGTTTAACTGAGTTTTATGAAGGAAAACATCTTGTTTGGCTCCAATACGGAAAATGTCCACTTGCTTAAGAAATTTGTAGTAGTGATTAACTAATTAATATTTCTACTGATAGTTTGAAAGGCTTGTTTGGCTTGCTCACTTAAATTTTGAGGTGCAATCTATGGGTTTCTTTTTGTTTTAATTTTCTTGTCTGTATATCTTTGTATCTCGTATTATGTTGACATTCCTAATATTTTTCATCTTAAGGTCTCTAATGTTATAGTGAGTTACATGTACTTTTGCTAATTTCTTTTGCAGTAACAAAGGAAGGATTGTTGAATCATTACCAAGGTCAAGATATAGGTCAAGAAGTCGCAGCCCTCCGAGAAAGTAAGTTACTTACCAGCACTTTTCCTGCTTAGACAACTTTGTTTTTATCTCAATTTTGTACCATATGTTCTATTTTCTCTTTTGTCTTGTGACCACTTTTCTGAATGAATTATGCGAGATTTTGATGAAGGGATAACCAAGAGGGTCTTTAATGTTTATTTTGCTTCTTTCTTACCAACAATCTTGATTATTGGTAGCATGAACATGATGGTGTTAAGTGTTGGTAGCTTTAAGCCAATTCATTAACTCAATTTTTATCTGCTTGATTGAATGTCTGGATACACTGGTTATGGTTTATTGCCCATTTACATCTTGACAATTCTGAATAAACTTTCTTTTATCTGATTTAATTTCAAATAGGGGAAGTCCACTGTTTTTTTTTGTACATGCGATGCTTTTTAATCTTGTTTGAATAGCCAAACATATATGGATTAATTATATTTCTTTCTGGTCTTATTTGTGGTTATCTGATGTTCATTGTGTTCAATATCTTCAGGCACCGGGATTACAAAGATAGGGATTATAGGAGACGAAGTCGTAGTAGGAGTCATGACAGGTATGAACATGATCGATATCATGGGAAAGACAAAGACTATCGGCGTCGAAGCAGGAGCCGTAGTGCTAGTCCTGACTATTCTAGAGGCCGAGGAAGAGGGCGCTATGAAGATGATCGGCGGAGTAGCAGTAGATCAATGAGGTTTATACTTATACTTTGCAATTTAGGATGTGTGTTTTCTTTTTTCTTTTTTTTTTTTTTAAATGTTTTAAGCTTTTTCATTGTCATACTTTTCTATTTCAGTGCTTCACCTGCTCGCCGCAGCCCTAGTCCTCGGAAGAGTCCTTCCCCACGAAAGGCATCACCGCCTAGGGGTGAAAGTCCTGATATACACAGCCGTCATAGATGGTCTCTAAGTCCTCGAAATGTTTCACCGCAAGGCCGTCCTGCTAATTCTCGAGGCCCATCTCCTCGAAACTCAGATGTTGAAGTGAGTTTTTTTTTTTTTTTCCCACTATTTCTTTTACTCTGCCCCCTCCCCCTTTTTTCAATCTTTTTGGATTAACTTTCTTTTACAGGCATTTTTTATAACCCTTGAATGTTTGCTTTTGCATTTGAATTTTGTAGGAATGATCTTGCAGATGATATGGGAATTACTGGAGTCTTTAAGTAGCATATTTCTTGTTGCTATGTTGCTAGTGTTGAGGACATTCAAATATCAACAGTTTTTTAGTGTTGGTAGGACTGGGTTTTTTTTTATTTTTTTTATTTTTTAATTGACTGTCCTGAACCTTTTGTCTCCCTTAATTTGCATCGTGGTGTCTGAACTTATGTAGTTTGTAGCTTGATGTTTCAGTACCCACCAAAGATTTTGTGATGTAAGTTTGTTATTGTAGCTTGCTCCCCCTCCTCCCTTCAGATCTTATATTTGGCTCTGATTTTGTATGTCTCCCATATTAATTTCATGGGGCTGCTTTATTGAGATGTTTCTTTTTTTTTTAATTGTATTTTCTTTTTTCTAAGAATGCTGATTTATCTCAAACTGTCTGTTGGGTTTTATAGCAATGTTCGGGGAAAGAGTGACTTGGGCAAAGGGACATCATGTTGATGTTGTAGCTGTTGATGCTGTTTATTTCTGTAGATGATTGATCGTGATTATATTTGTAGATGAATGATCGTGATTGTGTGATGCTGGTTATAGCAGTATGGTAATTGCAGGGGACAGTTTGTTAACTATTTTTAACTGAAAGATATGATGATTGGTAAGACCTGTAGTAAGTCTCGGTTTCTGAAAAGCAATGCATCATTCAGGTTTCTGATGTTTCCATGTGATTATCCTCTGCTCCGCTGATTTCTATCTATTAGCACTGAGGTTTAGTTGCTGTGATGGTATGAAAGGACCAAAGATGAATTTTTTGACCTGTGGAATGTTGCATATGATGGACCTATGATGCATTAGGCCTGATGCGAATGGTAAAATTAAAAATGTAATGTCTTGATTTGAACAGAATAACTACATTGATTGAAGAGAATAACTTGTTTCTGTTTAATTGTTTCATTGTTGTATTCTAGCATTCATGTTTAACCAAACCATTTTGCTAATGTTTTGAGTTGTAGCAAAACTGTCCGTGACCGTAGCTGTGCAATGGTGGTTGTGCCAATTCTGTAGATACATGTGGCTTGTGGGTAAACCATTGAGCACCAACAAATAAGCCGTAGCAGGCTGTTGCTGCCTTTGTTGTTGGGCCATGTTGATAATGGTTCTAGCAGTCGCCTAGCTTTCTTGCTGGTCAGTGGGTAGTGGGCTCTTGCTGCCCTTCCTGTGGTGTCATGTCAGTTTTGGACTTTGGTACTGGCAGTGTTGGTATGCATACGATATACCTCCCCTGAACACATGTTAGGGTTACATTTTATTATCAGTTTTTTCTTTTTATTTGTTCTAAAAAATTCTTCTGCGACTATTATAATGATGATATTGTGATAAAAAAGCAGATCACTGTTCATTCATTCTTAGGCCCTATTTTATTAATAGGGGATTTCATGCTTTTACTCTGCTTCTCATGGAGGTGCGTATAGAATGAAAGCAATGAAAGATTTAGGAATGCTCTCAATGGTGGTTAAACATGTTAAAAGAAATGAATAAAGGGAAGACTGCAATGCAGTTTTGGGCTGAAACCTCAAGCTGTGTGAATTTGTTTTGGTTTCTTTGATCTTTATTGGTATTTTTGTATTCTGCTGCATGTCTAATCAATTAAAATTTTCTGCCAATAAAGGAAATCTATTGTAGATAATTTTGCTATTTTGCCTTAATCGCTTTTCCTTTACGTTCCTGAAAACTCGTATAAACTGACGGTGCAGTGGCCATACTGAATTTGCTTTTCTGGTTGGCATGACATCTTAGTGTCAAGTGCTGGATTAGTTTGAAATTCTTAGTCAGTTGTTTCCCCCATTTAGCTGATGAATCTGGCTTTTAACTTGATGCTTGTGTGTGTTTTGTTTCTTCCAGTGATTTAACGGTTAATGGAGCTTGTTACTTTGTTTCAGGGGTACTTTTTAGTGACAAATAAGTTGGCTGCCTCTTTGGTTTAAGCTTAAAGGGTTAATGAAATGGATGACTCTTAAATTATAATGAAATGTGTGATAAGGTAGATCATTAAATTTGTTAATTAATTTATGTATTTGGAAGATTATTTGTTTGGCAATTGTTATTATTTGAAATTATTTATTTTAAAGTTCTATCATATGAGTATCACATTAGTCAATAGCTTTGTGATTCATATATTACATTAAAAATTTTAAAGTTCAAATGTTACATTGAATATTTTTATAGTTTAAGGTTCATTAAGATATTAATCCAAGATTAAATTGCAATTTTCATTATAATTGTAGTTTCCTAAGGGCTTATTTTAAATATTTGTCAGCATAGGATGATTCATTCTTAGTTAATCCTTCGATCTTGCATCTCGTATTACACAAATTACATGAAACAGATTAGTGGAATTATAATTAACCAATGTCGGTTTCTGGTAAAATCTTGAACGGTAAAGCTCCAATTCATTTTTATGTTGTTTCATATCATATGAGTTGAGATTTAACTTTTAAGATCATGCTGGGTACAAATTTATTCGGTATTTTAAATTAGTTTAATTGTTACAATTTATATTTTTGTGGGATATTATTTGCTTTAGTTCTTATTTTTATCTCGTGATTTTATTTTATAAAAAATATTTTACGAATTAAAAGTTGATTAATTTTTATTTTTCATAATTAATTTTAATATAAAATCGATGTAAAATTCATGATTTATTTTCAGAGTAGTGTCTATCTAAGTCCGTGACACTTGGTTGAAATCTTCAAATCATTACGTAAAAATTGCTTCTATATTTTGAGAGCAATTGTCCAGAAAGAAATGAGGTGCTCGTGCGCATGCATATCAATTTATGAAATTACATTTCTAAATTCTGCTAAATTGTAGTGCCTGATGAATGTCACAAAAAGATCTAGACTAGAGTCATGAGTGGGACCAAATCCTTTATCGCTTACAGTAACCAATGAGTGAAAATTGTCAGGCCAAATTTACCAAATTTTCATATAAATTTGTTGGAAGAAATGATAGAAATTTATGTTTTGGTTTCTACTCCACCAGTACAAAGAATCCGACTCAAAACATATTAAATATTCTAAAAAAGAAACCACCTAAATTCTTTAAGAAGCTATTACAATATCCACCAAATCATTGGTCCACAAAGCCCATCAATCCAAATCCATATCATTTTCTTTTTCAATATTACCGGCAGTCCATAACTTTATAGTTCGATCATGAGACACAGTCACAATATATCGGCCATCTGCCATTAAAAAAAATATATGATGCTCAGTGCGCTTAAATAGGATAGTTATATTGATTTGCTTGATACTTGGCTATGGGGGAAAAAAAGGGAAAAAGGCTGTATAACTTGACCGCTACATTTTTCGTCAACCAAGCTAAGAAATCATTACTCATTTAAGGCAAAGATAAGAACAAAAGAATGGAGTCACAAAAACTTCAACTGCAGAACTGCTAACATACAGTCATAGTAGACCCGCTGTTAATTATACCTAAAGGAACTTAAATCTAATTAATATCAAAATACATGGTAAGGTATCAAAATGCTTTAATCTAATGCTTGCTGATTGTATTTTAGAAGTTCTGGTGAAGGGAAGGACAACAAAAGCTAACACTAGACAAATGAAATATTTCAAGAAGAGAGGAAACAAAGCAAAGGAGAGATGCAAGCTTTACATATTTAAAGTTCAGAAAATTACCTTCACTAATATCTGAAGCAGTGACTTTAGCTTCATGACCCGGTAAGCTTTTGACAGGCTTAAAATCTTTGCCAGACCAAACCTGGTAAATCATACACAAAGATTAGATGATAGATTAACAAAAATATACGTCAACTATGAAGAAATTTGTTTCCAGGAAGGAGGTGCACCTTTGCAGTCATGTCATAAGAAGCAGTGACCAAGTAGTATCCCTCTTGAGGCTCAAACTTCACTTGTGATATAAGATTTGAGTGAGCTGGTATGATATATAGGGACTTTTTCTTCCTCAAATCCCATATGCGACAAGTATTATCTTCACCCCCCGTGGCTAAATGATAGCCATTGGGTGAAAAATTAACACCAAGAACCTGGAAAGAGTGGCCGAGATTTGCAGACTTTAGTTATCAAAATCTATTCATGTAATACAATTTTTTTCCTGCTCTAGAAATTCAATAGAATTATCTTAAGATATTAACAAGGCAACACAATTCAACACTATAGTTTCTATTTGCCTAAACAAGCCTTAAAACTTTAAAAAAAAAATTGTAGCACCATTGCCTCCCAGTTCCAATGGAATCTGATGGTGACTTCCTTTTGAAGCATTGAGGCCTTGTGCTGAAATCAAAACTATAATTTTACACGTATAAAAAATCTCAAACCTATAAAGCATCCTTTTGAAACTTATAGTAGTAAATAAGTATTTATCAGGTATTTTAGTGTACTGCTGCTAGTAAAGACACACCACAAGATGCTTCTCCTACATGTAGCATTTGGCAACAATGGCTGCAACATAACGTGAAAGTGAAAGAACTGCATAACTATAAAGTCTTACCGGCTTGACATGGCCTTCCAAGGCAAGAATACTTCTCCCAGTGCGAAGATCCCAAACACGAGCAAGTGCATCAAGTCCACAGGATGCTGCTAAAGATCCATCTTGGTGGAAGGCAATTCCATAGACACTCCTACTATGACCTTCTTGGAGAAGCAACTCCATGCCACTCTCTATGTCCCACAGTCTCCATGTTTTATCAAAGCTTGTTGTACCAAAGTACTTCCCTGAAGGATGGAAGGCAATACGTGCAAGGCGGTCCAAATGGCCCTCAAATGTTTTCAGGAGAGATCCATCAGTGTTCCACAACTTTGCTGTTCGGTCAGCAGATGCAGTTGCTAAATGATCATGCACAGGAGAAAATGTAACATCAGTTGCACGTTCTGTGTGGCCCTTTAAGGCAGAAACCTTACTTACCTTAGGCATTGACCACAACTTAGCAACTCCACTCAAAGAGCTGCAAGAAAAAAAAAAAAATCTAGTTACAATCCTAATTCTTGCCATTTTTAGTGGTTTCAAAACTATATTGTATATGCACCCTAGGAAGATCCGCACTTTGAACAACTGCAAATTTTTGCATAACTTGAACTTCTGTACACTCCTTTTAACCACTTAAAAACGAATTTGTTAAAGCAAAGTGAAAAACCAAATCCATTAAGACTTAGCTTTTCTATTTAATGAAGAGGGGAATTAAGAGTGAGAAGCACACCAGGTGGCAAGAAGTTTTCCATCCCGTGAGAAAGAACAACCTGAAAGCGGTCTATCATCTCCAATTTCACTGCAATCAAGAACCAAATTCCCCGCCTGCTTTAGGGCCCAGTCAATTTCAGCATCCATATCTTCATCAGGATCATCCCTTTTTCTCTGTGCACGTTGAACACGAGCAGCTGCCTTTACAACAGAGTACTTTGCAATATCAATTCTAGCATCCAAAAGCTCTTTTGGACCCTCAGTATAAAAGGGATATTCGATGTCTTCCTCAATGTCCTCCACCTTAGCAGAAACTGCAGCCTCTTCCTCCTCGTGAGCTTTCATCAATTTCTCCAATTGCCCCTCAGAATCGAGCTTTGCCAAAATCATTCGCAGCCTATCCCTCCTTTCCATCTCTCTTTCTCCAAAAAGAGTTATGGGTTCACCAAGCCGGCGAAGTCGAGTCCGGACAGCCATGTCATTTGTTGGCACCGCTAGTGCAGCAGCACGTCGTTTCATCAGAAGTTCTTGCATTGCCTTTTCTTGCCGCTCTCTAACCAGTCTGCTCTCTTCCGAGATCTCATATTCACCAGTAGTAGCTCGCCCTGCATCCTCATGATCGGAGTCTGAATCACTAGTTTTCACCCCACCATTTTGAGGCACAGGCGGTTTAAGGACAGGAAGGCGAACTGGGAGAGGTGCCAATGGGTTGACAATTGGGTGTGGAGGAATTGCAGGAATCGGAGCAATAGGTGGTACAACTGCAGGTGGGACAAATGGCGGCACAGTAGGCTGAACAGGCTGAATTGGAGTGTTATTAGCTGCAGGAACTGTCGTTTCGCCATCCGAAACTGAAACTGAAGGTTCTGCGGCAGATGTTGATGGACTGTTGTCCTCATCAATTTCCATGTACCTACCCAAGTGACACTGACAATTAATGAACTTTAAACAGTATAGAGAAAAAAAAAAGTTCTCCATCATTTGCCATCCACAGCCATAAAAGAAAGGCAAGGAAACACAACTTAAACCAATATAAAAGTTGTGAGTAATTTGAATCTAAACTACTTAAACTAAAATATACCTCAAAAAACTGTATCTGTTAGGCCGTGAAAGTTAAAGAATAGATCATTTAAAGACTGAAATTTTCTGTTATAAAGAAAAGGGTATCTTTTTTTGAACTCTGCTCCTTACTAAAAATCAAGCATAAGACAAGTTTATGAGTAAGACAAATCAACAAACAGAAGGTGCACGAAACAGTATCCTTAAAGAAGCCACAAAAACATACAATTTTTTTCACCAAAGGGATAGCCAGGGTAGAAAACGAAAATTAAAATCTTCTTCTAGACATAAAGATCAACTGGAAATAACTGGGTTTGAATACAGCTAAAACAAATCAAGCTGAACCAAGTTAAGAAGCAGTAAAGAAATCAAAACTTAAACCCGTACAACAGCAGTCAAGTAGTACTAATGTCTGATAACAATGTACAACTATTATTGCCATACCTTCAAGGAAAAAAGCTCGGGAAGTCGGGGAGTAGGGGTGGCGAAGGAAACGGAAAGGAGGAAAAGTTGCAGATGGTGAAAGAATTTACGAAAATTGTGGTGTTCAAGACTGCAAAAGCAGTGAAGCGCGAGGGAAGGAGGCGAAATAACAGAAAGTAGAAACGTCGACGTTTTTTACTACTATTTAATAATCTATACAAACGCTATAGTTAAATAATTCTTTAAAATAATAAAAAATTAAAAAAAAAGTGATAATTTTTTAATTATATTTGTGAAATAAAAAAAATTATATTATGAATGTATAAAAATATTTTTGATAAATTAAAAATCCAAATCATGACAAATAATAAGGTTTTCTACAAAGTACTATTAAGTAATTAAATAATTGGAAAAGTTAAATGATTTTTAACAAATTTTGATTTTTTATTTAACTTAAAATATCAGTAATCAAATAAAAAAAATAAAAAATGGTAATATTAAACCAACTTCAAATCAAGCTTCAACCAAAAATCTAATATTAAGCTAAATAAAGAATATTTTTAAATTTTAATTTTAAAATTATGTTATTTTACTAAAAAATAAATTTAGTATAAAATATTCGGGCCTTTGGACAAGTTTGCGTAAAACGCTTCAAGGCCCGAGAGACGAGTTAAGTTGCAAACCCGTTCAATGATCACCTTTGAATCGATTCTTCTTCATGTACTTTATCTGGTAGGAGTTGGGTTTAGGCCCACTAATTTGGGCTACTCGGCAAGGCTTGTCCCCTGCCGATTTAATTTGATTTTATTTTGTCTCTTCAAAGTCTCTCTCTCTCTCCGTATCACTCTCCGCTCTTCCTTTGTCGAGAAATCGAAGTTTAGTTTCGTTTGAAGATTGGAGCTGAGAATTTGTAGAGATGGAAGGTAAACCACCGCGCTCTCATCTCAAGCGCCAATTCTTCGAAGACGAAGACTCCAACAAGCCTCCCGCGTAATCATTTGTTTCAAATCTTCTTTTTTTTTTCTACTTCAAAAACGAAAATCTTTCATATCTCACTATATTGATGCAATTGCTTTAGCTAGTAGTTCTAGTCGTTTACTCTTTTGTGTTCGCTCTTTTTTTCTTCTAATTTTGGCTTTTGAAAATTTATCTGTAAATATGTTTTAGAGTGCTTATTAGTTTATTGAAAACTTTTAGGCTTTATTTAAACTATTTTTAGGATTTTTTTTTTTTTGCAAATTTTTCTTCGAATGCAATCAAGTTTTGATAATATCGATAAATTTAATTCATTTGATAAAAATAGTGTTAAAGATATCTTCTTTCTTTTTAAGAATTATTTGTATTGTTTGAATTTTAGAATTAAATGAATATTTTGATTTACAGGCAAAAGAGGGTTAGGTTTCCTAAGGGAAAGAAGGTTAAGCATGGAGAAGTAGCGGTGAACAGAGTTGATGTTGAAGACGGTTCAGGTGACTTGAAAGATCCCCGTCTTGCTGCTAAGGAGCGTGCCAAGCGCCGCAATCAAATTACTACAGAACTATTCACTGAAGATGGACGAGGCATGCTTAATGATGTCTCCGCTGCTGAAGTTGCATATGAGGTTAGTTTCTTAAAGTCTGCCCAATTTTAGATTCTATGTCCGGCTTGACAGTATGAAACCGGCCATAAGATGTTAACTATGCAGTCCAACTTTTGTGAATTAATGCTAATTTATCCTAACTGTCTAAAGGCAAGAAGCAGATTATGCCCAAATGCCCTTTACACTTTAGCTTTGAAATAGATGCTTCTTTGCACTCCCATCCAGTTTTGGGATAGGTCCTGTCAGTTAGCTACTGTAGCTTTTCTACGTGTTGTTTCTGACTCTAATAAATGCTAAAAAGGCAGTTTTCTTTTCATTTTTAATGCAAAATTGCATTTTTATCATATTCATTTTGCTGTAGTTTCAGTGTGTTTATTTGTTGGCTTTTACAATCATCTGTTCCACTCTGAGCTATGATACACATGGCATGTGGTTCTGTTATTGAGTGAATTTATAATTTTAGGATGCTTCTTTCCTGAATTGGCTGCATTTTTTGCAGTCAAGATGACTGCCAGATTCCTCGTTTATTGGTTCGGGAAAGGATAGCCAATGATGGGGAATTTCTTTTGGCAGGATAATGAGAACTTCATTGATGATGGAATTCAAATAGAACCTTTCAATCTTAACAAAGAAAGAGAAGAAGGATATTTTGATGCAGATGGAAACTTTGTTGAATATGTTAATGATAATAAAACCAAGGTAAAGCATTGTATTGACCCAAAGCTTCTAAATTTAATATCAAAACTTCTATTGACTACCACATGGATTTATTGTAGGATGCTTGGCTTGATAGTGTTGAAGATGATATAAAATATACTGGAAAAACATCTGCAAAGACCATTGGTGAAGATAATAATGAAGTTGCTGCACAGGATCTCTCCACCCAAGATATTGGGATGATAAAACGACGTATTGCCAATGTGCTTGAGCCTGGAGAAACGGTAATCTTACATGATCATAGATATTCTCCCTAAAATAAGAAAAAATGGTACTCCCTAAATGAATCACTGTGTTACATATTTGTTCCAAAATTTGCATTTTGCTTCAATTTTCATGATATGAGTACATGATATATAAAGTGAATGTTGAATGCTGCATACCTGGTGCTTATATTAGATTATGGTATTTTTGCTGGCACATCAATCTTCTCCTATTTGTTTTTGTTGTAATGATTATTTTCAACATCCAGGTTGATTCTATTGTAGGGAGTCATCAATTTTGAGGGTAATTTAGATTCATAGAAATGCTCACATTGGGCATAAATTCTATTAAGCTGTTAAACAGTGTAGATAATTTCTTCTAAATATTTTTTCTTTATTTGGTCAAAGTCACAATTGCTTTGGAATGTTAGATAGAGTGTTTTACGCTTGTCATTCTCGGTTCTAAGCTTTATCCCTTATGTACCAGATTTTAAATTTGGTTTCTCTATTAGGTAATCAAACAGGTTACAAGGGGACAGTTTAAAGCTAATTTGATTTATCTTGACAGGTTTTGCAAGCTCTGAGAAGGTTGAAAGGAGCTTCAAATAACAGAAAGGAGAAAATGTCAGCTGAGACAAAGCATGTATTTGACCAGCTAACTGAGGATGCCATGAAGTTGATGGAGAATGGTGACTACAGTTAAGTCTATTACTTTCTTTTGTTTCTAGTTCACTACGATTGAGAGGTTACCTTGAATATAGTAGCTCTAATGCCACCACTTCGCCAACCAAAATGAAAAAAAAAAATGTGACTGCTAGCTTATTTTAAAGGTGTTTGCACACTTTGAGGCAAAGTGGCGTTCAAAATGTGTTTGGGATTTAAATGTCACCTTCAACTTTTACAATACCAGTGCTTGCTAGAATTCCTTGAATATTCTAGCTTTAATGCCACCAGTTTGCCAACCAAAAATAAAAAAAAAATGTGACTTCTAACTTTTTTAAAGGTGTTTGCACACTTTGAGTCAAAGTGTCAGTGAAATGTGTCAGGGCCTTAAATGTCATCTTCGCCTTTTAAAATACAGGTGCTTGCTAATGGCTATGGTCACTTTTCTTGGTAGGATTTAGCAAGCAGATCTATACTTGTTGAAGATTGAGTCTTGGCTTAGTTGAGATTTACAGCTTTGTTAGCCACCAATTACCCTTTATCTCCAATGAAGCAAATCTGCTTTTGTTTAGTTTTTCCCACTTCTTCTTGTGATGGTTATAAAACTTGGTGAAGCTTTAGGCATTTATCTTTGGTCATAGTGTATGCTTATTGGTTTAAATTTAATTCTGCAGATGTGTACCATGAGAAGCAGGAGGTTTTCCAGTGTAAGGCAGGTTGGTGCAATGTTTTATTATTTCTTTTAATATATTTTATTTGTTTTATTTATATTGATTGTTTCTGAAGAAAATTTCTTTATGCTAAGTATTCCACATGTAATTTTGTAGGGGCAGGTATATATATTGAATAAGCTTTTATTAACTATGCTGTTAATCTACATTTTTTCAGAGGGATATGAGAAGTTAGCTCTGGCCAAGGGGAAGAGCATATCTGCAAATATTGAGCTGGGAGGTTCTGATCTTAACTTGGGAAGTGACATACTCAAAGATATAAATATTGCTGGAGTAACTTCTTCTGTACTCCCTGACTCAGCTGTGGGTACTTCAAATTCAAATCTAACTGCTGCAGAAGTTTCAAGCAACACTGCCGAAGGTTACAATATGTTTGCTGATGATGAGGATGATGAAAATCTTACCCAGTCATCTGAGCCTAATTCTGATGCAGTTATTCAATCATCATCAGAAGCTGTAAACACTTTTTCCAAAAGTATGTATTGTCATTGATCATTTGATTATGAATATTACAAAGCATTTTGGAGCAAATAAGGGTAAATTTGTTGCTTGATGTGCTCATTTAATTTTTGTGTTTGCTTCATTTGCAGCTGGAGATGTGGAAAATGATTATGTCTATGACGAGTCTTCAGGGTATCCCCACTTTTATCCTTCCCTGCCTCCATGTGCTATAGTTTGAAAATGTGATTTGATTTGATTAATTTGTTTCTGTTTAGGAATTTCTTTTCTAGGAGTTTGTTGTTATGGCTAAAATAACAAAAAAGCCCTTGAACTTTACAACTTTACTTAAATAAGCTCTTATACTTTTATTGCATTCAAATAAGCCATAATCTTTAATTTGAACCCAAATAAGCACTTAACCTTTAATTTGTATTTAAATAAGCTCTTAAACTTTTAATTTGTAGCTAAATAAGCCTTTAACATAAATCATTCTTTCATTTGAAATAAAGGCTTATTTAGATACAAATCAAATTATAAAGGCTTATTTGAATACAATAAAAGTATCGGGGCATATTTAAAAAAAAAGTGAAATAATACTGGGGCTTTTTTAGTATTTTAACCTATTGTTATTCATGAAGCAGTTATAGATATTTGAAGACATTGTTTCTGAATAAATATGTATATCGGTATTTGGTAATATTTGATCTTACTCTGATAATCTTTTTGTTCAGGTATTACTACAGTAGCACTTTTGGATATTATTATGATCCATCTACATGACTATATTGGTTAGCAACATCAGGGCAATGGTAATGTTTCTGCCATCTCTTTTTGGCTCTTGAGATTTAGCACTTGCATTTGCATTTATCCTGGTTCATTTGTAATCCCAACTCCTAGGTTACAACCACTGACCAGTACTTTAACCATCAATCTTAAAAGTATGGAGAGCAGGTTCCATAGATCACTTCACATTGTGGATGCATATAAGTTTCTGTTAAAATCCAAAGAAACCTTGTGATTTGTTGCTCATGTGAGTAATATGATACCATGCATGGTAATACTGTTTGCTTTAAGTTAGAACTATGCCTCAAGAAGATTGAATGATGGAGTTGCTTAATTGCATAAGAAAATAGCTGAACATGAAAAGGTTATTTTTAAAGTTAAAGGTTGATGTATTATATTTAGTACATCACTATTAAATAGTCTGAAAGAAAATCTATAAGATCTGAACCAGAGACTCATGAACCACTTAGATTTAGTATGTTACAGTTAATTTTGAAGTAAACTTATAAGATCTGAATCAAAGACCCATGAACCCCACCCATTTTAGGAATATTTATTTATGATAACAAGCTATAACCATGGAGAATTCACATATCAAACACTTTCATCTTTCTAGATTTTCCCATAATGATAGGGAAAAACACATCTAATGCTTTCTTGTTTTGGCTCTTGCAATTATAACTATTCATATTTATTTGTGTATATCCTTGATTTTTGTTGTCTAACCATAGAGTTGATAGACCTGTTGTTGTGGGATTTGTTCATTGCTAAGCCTGACATTTAAAGGCTGTGCTGAAGATGTTCATGTGAATGATTGTTTTACTCTCTAAGGCTTGGGTTTTGAAATTGTCTGGATAAATGTTGCAAACTTATATTGTTTAAAATCTTATCCGTCTCTCTGTTCTGCCTATGTAGGTATTCCTTTAATGAGGCAACTGGCACATACGAAGAAGTTCAGGAGGTTGCATCCAGTACAAATTGAGGGTTTGAGAGTTGCTGCTCCAGTGGAGAGAGTTGTACAGGCTATAGAGTAAAGTTTGATGTGTGAAATTGTCATCTTATGTGGGTTTCATTCAGTAGGCTTCTTACTTTTCCTTGCCTTTGAGATCTAATTATTATACAGTTATTAAAGTTATACTGTCCTTGTTTTGCCAAAATCACTTGGGATTTTCTGTAGCAGTGACATTTTGCTTTTTTTTTTTTTGTTGGTTTTAGGGAGTCTTCATTTGGATAGCTATGAGTTGTTCGATATATAGAAAATTTTAGTGTTTTTAATAAGATAACCAATTTATCTTTGAGACAATATTCTGTTTCTCTAGCTGCTGGTGCTGTTGCTTTGATCATCTTCTCACGGATGTCTGCTCTGATCCTCTTCCTACCTTGATACTGAAATGGTTTAACGTTGGAATATTGCTGCATCAACCTCTCTTTCCAGCTCCTCCGCCCGTTGTTCTAAGAACCTTTACTCGCTAGATCAGGCCCAAGCCAGTGCTTGAAATAAAAAACTAAAGAGTGCTTTCTTACCCATTTCATTGATTACATAAATAATTATACTTGTATTAATTTGTGTGTAGATCAAAACCCAGAAGGTAGGGGCTTGTTCGAATGAACAAAGCAAGGTAGGTTTGTTTTAATTTGAGAGAATCAAGATTTGAGGCCATCTCCATCAGTTGATCTCCTGCTCCATTTCTTTGCTCCTGCAAAACTCATTCCTAGTATACATGGGCTTTGACCACCTGTTTTCTCTTGATTCGTATCAGTCAAAGCAGATATTCTTTACGTTACTTATTTTTTTGGACTAAAATTCTTGTGCTAAGTATATACGTTCTCTATGCATATTATTTTCCTCACTAGACTAGACTAGACTAGACTAGAGTACTCTACTTAACATCTAACTTAAATAAACTAATCCATTGAATAGGATATCAAACTAGATATTAATTAGATATTAATTCAATATGATAATTCATATATTTGTCTTTTATTTATTTAATATTAAATATATTTAACATATAAAAACTATTATCATAATTTATATTGATATATCATGAAATAATTTTTTATTTTTTATTAAACATATTGCCAAATATCACTATATAAAAAAAAAAAAGAAAATCCCAAATATATATGCATATTTAATGAAAAAGCATCTATAGAAGTAAAGTTAGAAAATATAATGTCTTATTTCAGATTTATTAAAACTATTAATAATTTTTTATAGCAATTAAAATTTTAAACTACCTTTTAAAATTTATCATCTATTTATGTAGAATAAAAGTTTAAAAGGGAAAAATACTTACATTTCTGTCGAAAACTTTAAACTAAATTTACAAGTGTATTACTATTTACTGCAAATTTCTTTTTCTTTAAACTAAATTTAATCTCATATAAATATATAACAGTAAAAAATTTTGAGCTAAAGGATAACAATTCTATGTGAATAGTCTGATTGTAGGACATGGGGATATATTGAATTTTGGGCATGTATCCATCACTTAATGACTTTTATTTGATTTGAGTTTGATCAAATTAATTGTATTATCTTTTATAGCTTAAATCTCTCCATTAATTTTAATTCGAAATCATGTTTAATCATAATCAAATTAATTACATTTATCTTCATTTCTTTATATTCATAAAAATTGAAGATTTTCATTTTATCAAACAAAAAATAAAAATGTCAACTGTCATTAACACCAAAAAAAAAAAAAAGAATAGAAAGCTAATTATTGTGAATATTTTTCATGCCTTTTAATTGGTATTTATTAACATATAAATAAATTAATTTGCATAATGTGCTCCCAATGCTATCTATACCGAAAGAAGAAAAGCATTACTATGATAATTATGATTTTTTTTTTTAATATTGGACAGAGCATTCCTGAATTCATTATTTTCATTTTTTTTTTGTTACATCAGAAGAACCAAGTCTTAGTACAAGTAAGAAAAAGAAAGAAGCTTGATTTGAAATCAAATGTTTGATATCCCCTCAAACACCCTTAACCACTAGGCTAAAAATTTGGAACTCTTTATTTTAAAATTTTAGTGATTATAGTAGTGTTTCTCATGGAAAAATGTTAGTGGTATTACTCATACTATGGAAGCATATCAATTATGATTTTTTTATTATAATATTATAATCATTCAATTATAATAAAAAATTATGTAGGAATCTATCATTTATAGATGTAGGATTTGTATAAAATTGTGATGAATCTCACATAATTTTAAATTATAATTAATTATATTACAATCATTATAAGTGAAATGAAATGCTCTCATATTTATTCCTTATGAATTTTGTTATTAAATAAATTAAAATTTGCGTGGCATTTTTTTTTTTTTAAATAATGAATAAAAGTTGTTATATTTGACTACAAAAGCTCATGTATAAACTTCAAACAATGAACCAATTTATTAAGAAAATATATCAATATTTTCACATATAACTTAAACACATGTAATATTTTCCTTAAAACTACATAAATTAAATTTATGAATTTTAATTTTGAACTTAAAATTTTGGTGAAAAACCCTTGATATTAAATTATTTTTTGTAAATTTATAATATCATTTTCTTTAATTATGTAAATATTGATATAATAAATTAATAATATATAAAACTAAAAAGTAAGAATCCACTTAAGTTTTATACTTTTTTATCATTAAATAAAAGTTAAATATTAATTTGAATTAAAATAATATTTTTAATTTTAATAATTTTGATCCAAAAACTAAAAAATATATAAAATTTACACTAATATAAGTGAATCTTAAAAAAAAATAAAATTCTCACACTAAATTAAAGATAATTTATTATTTATAAGTAGATAATTAAACTTGTGCTAATCCTGGATTAAATGTAATTTATTTTTTGTTAGTAAAAAAATTAGATTTGTGCTAATTTGAAATTAAGTACAGGAAAGACAATAGAGGCATCGGAAGGGAATAAGGGCTAATTAAAAAAATTGCATTTGATCAAATCTCTAAATAACAAAAATTGGACTTTTTTATTTAAAAGTTTGATTTGCAAACAAAGTATTTCGTAAAACCAACCACAAATTTTGTGGGTAAAATGACTTTATCATCCTCATATTTCTAAATTTTTTTTTATGTTATACATTTTTTTTTTAACTGGGATATTTTAATTCATTACAGTTTTTTTTTTAATAAAGTCAAATTTTTAAATTTTTAAATCATATTTTTTCAACACACTTTTAAACATATTTTTTTAATTACAAGAACAATTTTAAATTAGATCTAGCTGATCTTCACTTTGTTCACTACAATATTTTTCATGATAACAATAATAATTTAAAATTCTTAAATTGTACTTTTTCATAGTATTTTAAAACATTTTTTTAATTCAAATTTTTTTTCAATTAAAAAAAACAATTTTAAATTAGATCAAGCTTATTTTCACTTCCATCCAAAAGATAAGGAGCTTTCGCATTGGTTCGTAGTAATCGAAAAGTAGACTGACGCTTGTCTTAATATGATTGGACAGAATATATAAGGGGATGGGCCGAATCTGAGTCTTTAGGGCCCAAAATCTACTCGCTTTCCGGCTAAGGCACATAAAAGGGATTCCAATATGATAATTCGAGTTATTATATAAATATTATATTTTATATAAAAATTATATATTATAATTTATATCAATAAAAAAATATAAAATATGATTATTTTTAATTTTTTTATATTTTTTATTTATATCATTTTTATATTGTATCATTTATTTTTTAAAATTATCAAATTTAAAAAAATATTTGTGTGTGTATGATTTTTTTTAAATTTATTTTATTTTTGATAAAAACGTTTTTATTACCTTTAAAAAAAAAAAAAAAAACATTGGAATGTGTAATGACTCCCTATGTCCATTTCCTTTCCTGGGAACAAAGGAAGGGCAGGCTAGGCCACTTGCATTATCGATTGTGACCGATTACTCCACCATTAAATTAGAATAAGGTCAGCTTCACTTTTCAATTTTTGCAATTGCCATAGGAACAAAAATATATATAATAAAAAGAAGTGATGCCTTTACAGTTTATGCTTGAAAAATACTTGAAAAATACTATGAAAATGAAAGCTTTAAGCTTCCTTTAGGAAAATAAAAGATTTAATAATTTATAAAAAAAATAATGAAACATACTGAATATTAAAATTTACTATTCTCTACTTAATTTTATATAATTAAATAAAAGCTGAAAACTATATCATTATGACAATCATAATTTGATAGTACGTTTGGATTCCTACATTTAATGACTATAATTTAATTTTTAACGGCCTCAACTAAAAAAAGTATGCCATTATTTTTTATTTTAATATAATCAAACTTAAATTTTAATTTAATTAATTAATTTAATTATTTTTAATATATAATATCGAATCGATTTAAATTTTGAATTTTAAAAAATTTCCCTTGAGCATAGTCAAAGATAAAAAGGACAAAAGCTAGCCTATGATTAATTAATTACAATTAATGAATTAAAACATTTCCATTCGGCAGTTATGTGTTGATTAAATTCTGCCTAACCTAAAAAGATAAAACCAAGATAGGAAACCGAAATCAACGAAACCTCAAATAGAAGAAAAGAGAGACGTGACTACATGTGCTTCTTAGAAAAAAAAAGAAAAGAAAAGAAAAAAAGAGCCCAAACACAAGGGTAATTTGGCAAGATAAAAATAAAAAGGATATTTAAGTCATTCTAATAAAATTAAAAAACTTACAAGAGAATAAAAAAAAAACCCTAAATACACCCAAAAAAATTAACTAAATAAAAATTTATTTAAATATCATTAGTTAATTATTTTTTGTCATTTACATCCCTTTATCGAAAATAAATTTTTAAAAATTTTTTCAGTGTATCGGAAATGTTTTTTCAAAATTTCTTTAATGATATCAAAAGTTTATTTCGAAAATGCATTTTAAAAAATAATTTTTTACTTCAATTTATTTGTTGCGATCTCTTGATTAATGTCAACCACAAAAATATCGAATATCTTTTGTTATGATCTTCAAATGAGTTTGTAATGATTTCTCCAACATAATGTTTAAATTCGATATTAGAAACCTATAATTTTTCAAGTAAGCATTATATATTCAATAATGTTTAAAATAGTTATTAATTATAACAAATGTGCATTTAAAATAAATCGCTAATTATGAAGAGTATTCGTGCAAATGATTACTGTACCATATATGATGAGGCAGTCACATTCCATCATATATGTTATAGTAGTTAATTTGCACGAACGCCTATTCACACATAACGATTCCTTTTAGATGTATATATATGTTAAAATTGTAAATATTGTAAATATTATTGAACGTACAGTACTTGGTGACCAAAAGATTAAATGTCCTTATCAATAGATTTGTCAATCTATTAATAACATAATGAGGTCAATTTTATTAATAGATTTGCAAAATGTGCATCGAAAATCTATTTTAGGAAGTTTTTGAAATATTTTGAAACTTCCAAAAATGAATGTTCGAAAATCATTGAGAAATTTTGAAAATATATTTTTAAAAATTCTCAAAAGTTTTCGAAATTGGATATCCAGAAATAAATTTTTGATACATTAAATAAGTTTTTAGATATCTATTTTTGAAAATTTTCAACAATTTTTGAAAATTCATTTCGGAATGCTCAAATCATCATCTTAAATTGTAACCCTGAACTTAAAATCTTAAATATTTAGAAACTAAATACAAAATCAAATTAAAAAGCAAAAAAAAGGTAAATAATTTACTTATAATTTTAAGTTATCTAACATCAAAATCAAGGTTGGAATTTGATTTGGGACTAAATCTCTAAAGGGGTTAAGGTTCTGAATAAGAAGACAAGATTGGAGTTTGATTTGGGGCTGAATCTCTGAAGTGGTTTAGGTTTTGAATAAGAAGAGAGGTGTTTTGGTTTAGGATATGAAAAGAAGAAAGTATGAATATTAGCAGTAGTGGGGTGTAGAAAAAGAAAGTGAAAATATAAATAATCTCTTTCTAAAAGAAATCTATAGCCACAGGACGAGAAAAATGAGATATATATATATATATATATATATTTTTTTTTTTTTCTTTTGATAACTAATTAGATGGGTTATTGTTATAATCCTTTTAGCAACAAAGAGAATTCATCCAAAATAACAAAAAGATAAATAATTTTTTAAGAAAAAAAGTAAAATTTTAAAATAATAGAAATTTCAAAATCCAATTAATAATAAAAGTTTATAATTGATATAATGCACTATTGCTAAAATATATAATAATCTTTTATAAAAAATAAAAATTTTAAAATCATAAAATAAATAATTTGAAATTAATTTTTATAAAACAACATTTGTTCTCTAACAATTTATAATATTTATATATCATAATGCATTAAATATAAAACTAACAATTAAATATAAATCTTAATATGCATAATATTTTATTTTACTAAAAACTATTAGAAGTATTATAATTATTAAACAATTAGGAGTAATAATAATTCCCTTATTCACGCGCCACCTGACATGAGTGGGATCCCAGGTCCCGTATCTCCAAGCGACAAATGCTCAATTGCGAGTCAGAAGCTCAACCGTGGGATTGGTTGATTGGTTCCGCATTAAATGTATAGCGTGAAAATCACGCAAACGAGCAAGAGTGTAGGATAAATAATTTATCGCCTATTTTGGTAGTAGTGAAAAGGTTCCTCAAGTTAAAATGCATGAGAAGAAAGCCAAGAGTGAGATTGAGTCAGTCCCATGGTCTTGTGGGTTACAGCATTTTATCGGTACCATCGATTTAGTTTTGAAAATTTCAAAATTAAACTTTCCTTAAAAAATGGTCTAATTAAAATAAATTATAGTGATTAATTAAAATAATTAAAGTCCATTTATGATAGTCGGTTCAATTAATTTATTCAATTTTAATTATTAAATAATTTATATTATTATATAAAAACTATTTTATATTTGTATTATATATTATATAACATAAATAACATTATATTATATATGATTTTAAAACATTATTTAAATTATATTGCATATAAAAATATATTTAAAAATAAATTAATTTGATCAGTTAATTCTATTTATTTAATTATAATTTTGAAAATTGATAACTTATCAAATTAGCTGAATAAATCGTTTTTCTTTTTAATTGATTAATATCAAAATCGAATAAGCATAATCAAATTAATATATTTTAATAAATTTTGATTAATTAAATCGGATACAACCGAGCTCAGTCCTAACTATGCTTTTTCTGTTTTTATTTCTTGGTAAGTTGTAAAATTAAAATTTTTATTTTATTTTATTTCATTTTATAAATATTTATTTATTTAATATATATTAATATTATATTTATTTGTTGAGGAGTGGGAACAAAATATAAATAGCGTTTGTTCTTCGCTATCCCAGCTTTAATGGCATGAGAGCGTACAAAGAGTGTATGTATATATTTTTACGGTTCTTAAAGTAACCGTATGTGATTCCTTTGATCTTTGCATGCTTCACCAACTCTTCACAAAAGAAAACCCAAAACCCAAAATGAAATTATTTTGATATCAACGAAATGCAATTTGGAAAAAAAGATTGTTCTTTTTCTGTTTGGTTTCCATCAGAAAACCGACCCCTTTTCTCCATTTATTTTTCTTTTTCTTTTTCAAAATCTGAGCAAAACCTAAAGGATAAAAAGTGGTAAATGGTAATATCTTCTGGGTATTTGTTATTTAAGTCTCTTTCAATTTATATCTGATGTGGGTATTTTGATTGTTTATTCTCGGTGTTGTTGTTCTGTTTTTTTGTCTATCTGTTCGTTTGGTTGGTTTTTTTTTTTTTTCCTTTTTGTCTGTCTTGTGTTTCTTGATGTTTGAGGCAACCGCTGAGATTGGGAAGAAGAAGAAGAAGAATAGAGGAAACATGAAGGATGATGAGGAGCTTGAAATGTTGTTGGATGAGATCCCTCATGCAACATCACATAATCATCATCATCTGCATCAACAACATGAAAACAAACATGTGAATGGGTCATTTCATGGCATGTTTGGTCTTATGTATGATGATGACACATCAAGTCATTATTATAAGCATACATGTGCTTCCCCTGTAAGCGGTTTCTCTTTACAGTCAGATGGTTCTTCCTCAAGTCTGTTTTCTAACAATGGGCAGTCTTTATCTGACAATGGATCACCAACCCCACCTCCACTAGAAGACCTTATGCCACACTTGCCTAATGGACTACTCCTCGATTCAGCCGTTAGGAAAAAGGCCAGTAGTGACGGCTTGATTGGTGAACTGGGTCTCTGTAGAAATCTCAGTAAAATGTATATTAGTAATGATCAAGAGAATGTTGCTTCTAGTTTTAGAGATTTTTCACTTGAATCCGATGGGATTCAACCTAATGATCAGATCAATGTTGACAAGTATGGGTCTTGTGACAAAATGAGGAAGGGGGATTTTGTGGGAATTCAGTCCCCTGTTCCAATGAGCGTTCCATTGAGTTTCAATGGTGGGATGAATATGGCATTTTCTGGATTGCCCCAGCAGCAATATAGGATAAGCAATTTTTTGGGGTCTCAGTTGTATCCTGGTTGCTCGAGTGATTTGATTTCTCAGCAGGGAATGAATTGTTGGAATGGTGCAATGAGATCTCCTTGGCAGAAAAAGGAGCAGACATGTAGTTATCACCAGGGAGGAAATTCTATATTGAATTTGAGTACTCCTTTGAGTAAGCTTTCAGTGAATGATGCTTTAATCTATGGACAACGAAATGGTCTGAGTTGGAATGAAGAACGAGGTGGGCTGAATTTTCATGGTTCTCCCAGGTTGATTCAAGCAACCCCTCATGCAAGTGTTGAAAATCTGTTACAGCATGGATTGCCACTATCCAATGGGTTGGCTAGAACACATTCAAATGTTGGAATCCCTCATGGAGGTCTTGAGGCTTTTACTAGTGAGGGTAGTTTCATTGTTCAAGGAGAGGGTTTAAATTATGTGATCAATAAAGGGTTTGATTATTCAAGGGAGCAGAACAAGGGTTCTCTGCAGGAGATTGGTGTAAGTAAGCGTCTAGAAATAAGGTCACAGCTTGATGGTTGGTCTCAAATTGCAGCAGCTTGTGGAAATGCTAAGAATGCGAAGTTGTATAGCCCATTCTCTTTGCCACCTAAGTATAACTCTTTGGCAGAAGCTCGGGGATACATTTACTTAATAGCAAAAGATCAACATGGCTGCAGATTCTTACAGCGGGTATTTGATGAGGGTACCCAACAGGATGTGCAAATAATATTTAAGGAGATCATTGATCATGTAGTTGAACTTATGATGAACCCTTTTGGGAATTACCTCATGCAGAAATTATTGGACGTGTGTAATGAAGAACAGAGAAAGCAGATTCTCTTAATGGTTTCTGAAGAACCAGGGCAGCTTGTCAGAATATCTCTAAATACTCATGGGTATGTCAGACACACTGCATTATATATTTTCATATCCACTGGTTCTAACATTGATTTTCCTTCTTTCAGCACTCGTGTAGTTCAAAAGTTGATTGAGACTCTCAAAACCAGGCAGCAAATTTCACTAGTTATATCAGCCCTTGAGCCTGGGTTTCTATCTCTCATCAAGGACCTGAATGGGAATCATGTTGTACAGCGTTGCTTGCAATGTCTTAGCAGTGAAGATAACAAGGTAAGCCTTCCATCTTCTACATTGTTGAGCCTTACAGACATGACTCTTTATTGTTCCATTGTATTTTTGTTCTTGATTTCTAAAGTATTTTATCTTGTATAAGTTACGGACATTGTTTTCTTTTTTGGGGGCCTACATGAGTAAATATGATACATGATAGCATTCCTTTAATCACAACCAGATTGAGGCTAAATTTGACAGAAACTAAGAACATGCTTTCACTTTTCTGAGAGGCAATCCATCACATTTTGTGTACTTCTTAACTGCAAGTTATATGAGCTGTTCCTGGTGGTGGGCATTTTAAAACTTCACAACCTAAAGAACTACATTTATTCTTTGTTAGTTCTTTGGTTATGTATCTTGATTAACTTATATTTCTCCTAAGTCTTTTAGATTGGAATGAAAATGGATGATTGTACCTTTTTCTAGTTCTTGGGGAATAATTGAAAATCTGTATGCTGCAGTGGATGTAGCATTCTTAGGTTAACCATCAATTGGTGTTTGAAGTCTGAACATGATGAGTCCTTGATAATACCAGAGTATGTATTTTTTTTGGAAAAGTGTTAGATGTCTTAAGTTCAAGTGAGTAGAAAAACTAATTGAGCCTCTGCCCTATCATGCAAACTTGATGCAAAATAATGGAGTGTTTAACCACATTTTTTGCAGTCAATATGCAATGAATTGTGTGTTAGCTATTTCTTGCAGATATTGCAGTTGGTTACGTGATTTTTTGGGTGGCATATTGTGTAACTTGGTGGTTTTATTTAAAATTCAGTCAAGATATTGATGCATGCATGCTTGTTGAATTTTGTTCATTCAGCTTTTTTCTCTAATCATTACTTTCATCAGCAGATATTTGACAAATTTCTTTTTTTCCAACCATTTTGATAGTTTATTTTTGTTGCTGCTGCAAAGCATTGTGTTGATATTGCAACTCATCAACATGGCTGTTGTGTTTTGCAACGATGCATTAGCTATTCAACTGGGGAATATCGAGAAAAGTTGGTCGAAGAAATATCCACCAATGGGCTTCAACTTGCGCAGGATGCATATGGGTAAGTATTAATATGATATTTTTCTATACTTATCACCTGTCATTCAGGAAAAAGAGCTTTTGTTTTAGGGGAAATGCAATTTAGTCTATAACTTTAATACCAACTTGTCTCCCTGCTTGCAATTTTCTGGGAAAGTGAAAAATAAAAACTCAACTTACATAATCTTGATTAGTTATGTCTGCAATTAAGAATTTCTAGTTTGCTGAAGCTGTTTAGGAAGCAGAAAATTTTCTTGGCATAGGGGATGGTATTAGACCTTCTCTATTTAGCTCTTCTGTGATACCAGACAGTGGTGATGGCAAAGCTTTATTTCAAAAAGTGAATTAATGGCTTGTTTTGTCTCATGGATTCACATTACTTATTAAATTCAAGTATCAAGCATGCTGAATAAGTGTTGGCAATCATCATATTGGTCTAGTGCTCATGTTTGTCCTCATTAGGTCCTTTGATGTTGATCAGGCTGAATTGACATGTCTTTAGGACTTGTTATCAATTCTTACATGAAAACTTCACATGTGCCCCTTGTATACATGATCAATGTTGGGAAGCCAGAAGATCACTAATGTTAATGAATCACTTTTTTTTTTTACAGCTTGAGAAAACTTGTCCTTCTATGTCTCTGTGGCCCAAAAGGTTTATTTGCCTACTGGATTATATCTTTATAAAAAACATACTTGTCATATTTTACTTCTGGAAATTAGAAAAAAAATGGTAAAAATAAGTCTTGCTGATTTGTTCATTTGAAGGAAAGTAGTATATGGAATTGTGAAAGCTTTGTGGAGTACTTTATTGTCATGAGACCGGTTAGCTCATTCTCTCTAATTGGGGACGAGTGGCCCCTGAAATGAAGTTTGTGATAGATACTTTATCTTTTATGTTTCTTTTTTTTTTTTTCCACATTCTTTTCACTGCAGATTTTTGTTCTTCATTTTGCAGAAATTATGTTGTTCAGTTTGTCTTGGAGTTAAAAATCCCATCTGCCACTTCAACTTTGGTTTCTCAATTTGAAGGGAACTATGTGCATCTCTCATCACAGAAGTTCAGCAGTCATGTGGTTGAAAAATGTCTTGTAGTATTAAATGATGCAATCCGGTCAAGAATCATTCATGAATTGCTCTCTGCAACTCACTTTGAAAAGTTGCTACAAGATCCTCATGCAAACTACGTTGTGCAAACTGCTCTCCGTGTGTCTGAGGTTTAAGAATCAATCATTTTTCTACTACTTATGAAACCCCCAATCCCTCAATCAACACCTCACTTCGTCTTTGTGGCTCAAAAAGTATAGATATTTTTCATCATAACATTAATTGATGCCTCAGTTTGTGATGCGTAGGTTACTAAGAGAACTACACTTGTTTTGTGGTATAGAGTATTTGGTAGGTTTACGGCACATAGGCGATAGCATAAGGAATCACTTAAAATGATTACTGTGAATCTGTAATGGATATGGTTGGAAATTTATTCTCCTGCTAGAAGTCAAACTTAATGATCTAACTGTAGGATCAAATTGTTTAGTTAAAAGTATTCTTCTCATGCACATTATTAAATTCATTATTATCCAATTAGAAACAGGGTTAATATTTATATCAGAAAATTCATTATTCTTGTTGGCTTCTTTTGGTCTCTTTATTGGTGTTCTGATTCTTTATTTTTTCTATGTTAGGGACCTCTGCACAATTCACTCGTTGAAGCAATTGAGTCCCATAAAGCATTTGCGCGCAACTGTCCATATTCCAAGAGGATATTCTCTCAGAAGCTTCTGAAGAAGTGATGTACATTCTCCCAGTCTCTGAAAGAAGCACTGTTGTTGTTTTTTTGTCTCTACTAGCCTTGTTTTCTACTGTCTCTAAAATTATTATCTATATATGGTAACTGGATTTAACCATAAAGGCTCATGGCTATAACCAAAGGAAGAGTTTTATCTTCTCAAACTGCATGGAAATGCCTTCCATTCCATGCGATCAGAAGAGTGCAAAAGATGATGCAATTTTGCTCTAAGTTGCTTAATTTTTGGACGTGTATTATTTCTATTGTCTTGTTGATCTCTATGCATTGGATATTACCATCTTTATTTACTTTGCAATTCTCAGGGTATGAAGTTATACAATGTATAGAATGTTAGGATTCTGATTCCTGCTGTACAATACAATCTGGATGCCACTTTAATAATATGCAGCATATGATTGGGAATGGATGATAAAACACAAAGCTGTTTTCTTGAGTGACTTTGATTCACTCTCTTTTCCTCTCTTTCCATTAGAAGAAATGAAATGATGTGGCTGTGGTGAAGAAGCTCTAAGTTACAAACAAAGCAAATTATATGTGGCTGTGGCGAGTCTTGCTTCAGTTTCTATTTGCGGTAATGAAATGATGGATCTCAGTCTCAGATCCACTTGTTTAAAGTTCACAATTGTTCCACATGGTTACCTCTTTGGGGGGAACCTCATCAGCATTATTGAAGCCCTTTCATTCTCGTGCCATGAAAATGTTTTGATTGACAAGTTGTAGGAAACTTGATGGGTTTACAAATTCCCATTTGTGGCACTAGGCCTACTACAGTTTAAGAATTCTAGATTTTACTAGTTTAAGATGATATGCACTGTAAACTTTAGATTCAATATTATTTTAATTTTTCGTATATTTATATCATATAAAATATTAAAATTTATATATTTATATTATATTTTAGATAAAAATTAAGTATTATGTGTTAATATGAAAATATAAAATATATTTTTTTAATTTTATTAAATTTATATATAATTATTATTAAAATTTTAAATTATATTATTTTTATATTATATTTTAAATTATCAAATTTAATTTTATTTTTTCGTACTGCAAGCGCAACACCAGCGTCAGCAGTTTCTCCGCAAAATCTCGCGAATATTGAGCCCAGCAATCCCCGCCCACAATTAATTTAATTATTTTTATTCTTTTAAGCATTAAAAAACTGAAGGGTCGGCAGGCAAAAGTAGTTAAAATACTTGACGCCACAATAAAAAGTTTATAATTATCGAACCACCAACTTAACAAGCAACGCTATAACCACGTGAATGCCATAAAAGAAAATTCCTCGCCAAGTGGTAAGGAACGCGTGTCGACTTTCGGAAAGCCTACATGGACGTGGACCAATCACGTCATCGAAACTGATCGGATCTCATCGCCTTGCTCTCATCCACGAATTCTGATATCTACCCCTTCTTGCACTGCCGTTGTTTTGATCGCCTCGCCACGTGTCATCGTTGCCTTCACCTTCCTTGTACGTTTTCGCCTTTTAAAAATTAATAAATAAAATATTCTTTAAATTCAGAGGAAAAAACAAGACGAAAACACAAAAATAAAAAAAAGTTGAGTGCCCTCGTTGTTCTCTAGAGCCTCCCAGAAATTTCATCTTTTGAATTTAGGGTAAAAGAGTTCGTTCAGTTAACTGCTGAATAACTTTGTACTGTGGATTTCTTAGACTTCTTTTTTTGCAGAGTTTTGTCTTTATTGGAAAAAAAATCTGTTTTTTTTGGGGTATTTGACTTTCAGGCGAAGTTTATCGGTTTGAGGTGAGACCTTGTTAGGAGATCGTTGCTGTTTCATTTTTTTGTTGAAACTTATTTTTTAGCTGATATGTTTAGATTTGTCTTGGTTGTTGATATATAATTTTGTTTGGTTGCTGAGAAAATGCAGGAAATGAAACGGAATTTTAGATTTTTTTTTTTTAAATTTTAACATAAAAAAGAAACGAAACAACCTACTAAAAGTCAAGCTAAATCTGATATGAATTTGTGCTTACAATATTATTTTTTGATGTTAATATTTTTATTTTTTTTACTGAATTCTTCTGCCGTCTGGTGATGAGAAAAAATTGGTTAGGAAAATGGATTTACACCAGAAAATGATGAATTTAAATATTAGATATATTTACTGCTATAAAAGCTGCGGATGGAGTTTGGTGCTTTAATGCTGAAAAGTAAATTACTTTTTGTTTGATGTGTATTCATAGCTTTTAGATTTTTAAACTTGATTATCTTTCACAAATTTGAGTTGGTTTAATTTCTACTGAAAGATTTTTCTAATTTGTTGTAATTACTCTGCTTTCTGTGTCAGAACGCTTAACCAGACATAAATTGTCTGTCATAAACATGACAGCTGATCAAAACATTGAATTTGTGATTAGTGGTGGATAAGGATCTTGGAGTTATGTCTGACTTGTGCATGTACGAGGTAAGTTTCTAAATTTACCTATTAAGTTTATTCAGTTTACTTTCATTTTCTAGTAGTACAGTGCTGTAATGTCAATAAAGTTTGTGTGGGATGCAATAATTTCAGCTTATTGACACAACTTGAGATTTCGCGTTACTTTTAGTTGCTCACTAGATTTCACATGTCAATAGAACTTGTAAGTTGTATGGTATGGAATAAAGCCTCTTTTGTTATGATATTGGTGGAGGGATTTATTGAAAATATGAGGTTGTGATGGATTTGTTATGGAAAAAAGGAAACTTAAGTACTTTAGTTTGAAACTTTTTGGTTCCTGTATTTGTGGGTTTGCTGTTGCCTGTTAGACTTTGTTGATGAATTAGGTTTTAGGGTTCAATTTTGCTCATTGTCTTCTGAAGCAGACTAGGTTTAAGTCATAGTTAATGGTTGTTGAATTTTTCTCTTTTCATCAGAGATTGGACATTCTAATAAGTGTCAATGGATTTTACACCAAAAATCATTTTTATTATTTAGTTTAAGTTGTATTTCAAGGATTGAACCCAAGCTTGTTACCAGGAGACTAATATCATTACACCACATAACAATTCCCTTGTACTGATGTCTTCTTCTCGATGTGTTGTTTTATATAATATTTTATTCACTTCAAGGACTTGATATGCTAATGTTAGATTTGTTTGATAATGCCAAGTTTTGGTGCAAGAAAGCCATTATCTAGTGCAATGGTAAAAATCTTCGGGTTGAAATGGGCAAGAGCATGGGCTTAAGCATAAGATGACTGCTTTATCAGAATTTACTTTAATGTCTTTGGTTGCATTACTGTTTTAAGGAATGTGTTGTGCAAGCTAAGGGATGTAATTCGTACCATCCCTCTAAATTATCTTAAACTTCATCTTCTTTATTTTTATTTCCTTTTATGAAGAATGACTGATTGTGTCTAAACTTGTGTAATTGATGTTACAGCTTGAAGATAATGTTTGGGATGAATTTGGCACTAGTGATGATCATATAGTGCCTCGAACTGTTGATGAATATGGGGCTCAATTCAAAGTTCAAGGTGGTGTACGAAAAAAACCACGACATGAAGTGATCGGAGTTACTAGTAATGCTGATAATACAACTAAATATGGTATTTTGGGGGAGAAACAAAAAGACTTACCTACTTTGAGCAAGAACAGAATGTTAGAAAAGGGTCCGTGGTCTCCCAGTCCTGATAGCATGTTTCCCACTTCAGGTGATAATGACTCATTCAAAGAAGTAACAAGCATGGGTTCTGATTATCCAAGGATATCCAGCCATGGTTTCAAAACTGGCAATATAGATTCAGTTGGCAGTGAGTTCTGTGCTGATGATCCTGTCTTGGTTGACAAGTGTGCAATGGAGGACAGTAATATTTATCGTTTCCCACTAAATCACATATCTGAAGCTGATGATGATCTCAGCTTTTTTAATAATAACCATGAGGACAAAGAAAACAGCGATCTTCTATATTATGGCTGGGGAGACATTGGGAATTTTGAGGATGTTGACAGGATTTTCAGGTAGTTCTTGAAATCTCATTATTAATTATTTTTTATGTTATGCTTCACTATGTAAATCTGACATGTAGCTCCAGTAGGACCTCCCCATTTGAGTATAACTTAAGTATTTACATTCATACATCCATAACTACCCACAAATATGTACCTGCACCATATATGGGTGCATGTATGTAGGTTTACAAATTTCTACTAGTACTTGCTTAACCTTTCTTATTGTTTTTCACAGAAGTTGTGATTCAACATTTGGCTTGGTGAGTCTCATTAATGAAGATGATTTGTGGTGGTTTTCATCTTCACAAGTGACTGAAGGATCTCAAAATGCATTGAAGACTGATGCCAAACTGAATAGTGTACCAGGAGAGTGTGCAACTTCTAGGTCAGAGAGTGCAGGTCCTTCAACTATTGATTCCAACAAGAAAAGTGTATTTCTAAGTGACAAAATAAGTTCCCTTAATATGAGCAGTGATAATTCTGGTCGTGCTCACATGTTGTCTTTGCATGTATCCAATAAAGAATCTGAAAGTAAGGATGACCTGACACCCAATGAGCAGGTTAGAAGAATCTTTCTTGTTTCTAAATGATCTCTCTCGCTTTCTCTCTTGATCTTCTTAATTTCACATTTTCTTTAGGAAAATATCTAGTTATCTAGTTTTTGGCACCTAGAACTTGTCAACCACCAAAAACCTTTTAGGCACTTTTTTCACTCTGAATATGGATTTCATGTTACAATAAATTTAGGTGAAAAGTAGAAATATAACTATTTTGGTACTTTGAAGGAAAACGCAGCCTGCTATCCACATGAATTACATTGTTTTTATAGCGCTTGTTCTTAATTGACTTAAAGGTTTGATCCAGAGTCAGATAACAAACAATATGATCCACTCTTAAGCTGGTTCAAAATGAAAGATTCTTTGCTACAAGTTTTCTTCAACGTGTTGTTGCCATGTGGAATCTTCATTATGTTATCTTATTGCATTGCCAAATTACAGATCACTCCACAAAAAAGGCACTCAAAGCAACTGAGAGCATCAGGGGAAAGAAAAGATCAACATCTGGAAAATGGTGGTTCTTTTAACCAATATGGTAACATCAAGCAGTTATGTACAGATGTGAAGCACCCCTTTACTGATTCATCCTGTCAACTCTTTTCCACATCAGGCCTTCAGCTGCAAAAGCAAAACATTGGACCTGATTCTGTGAGTTATGTAAAGACAGATATTCCTTATATGCATCTCAGCTACAGCAGTCATTCAGATCAAATTTCAATATGTCCAACTCTTTCTGGTGCCAAATCTGAAAATAATGGACATCCTTCTTCAAAAAATGAGTCATCTTATGCATCAAATCAGGTACAGTCTATAGAGAGCTCTTGTGCTCCTTCATTAGAAGCTCTTGCTATTATTTCGAATGAGAAGGGGGGAAAGCTATATCACCAACAAGAGACGCTAGCTCCACTTAATACAAATGTCAAGCACGCAAAAAAGGAAAGTCAGATGGCATTTTGTGATCCATTTATTGATCAAAAGCAGGTCCGCCTGTCTGAACAGGATGAAGATCATAGTGAAGTTGAAGGAGTTAGTGTAGGATACCCAGCAGAATTAGATTCTTCAAATGCACAGGAGAGCTGTTGTGTAAGTTCTGTTTTGGATGAAGTCTCACAAGAAGCAACTAGTTTTCGGCAGCTTCAGCATGTCATGGAAAAGGTATAATAGATGGAAAGATTTGTGATGTGCAAGTTGCATGTGTTTTTGTAATGTGCAGTTCTTTTGGTAATCAGTAAACATAGTAATTGATCAAGTTAAAATTGCTTGAGTTTTCAGTTGGATATCAGGACAAAACTGTGCATACGGGATAGTCTATATCGATTGGCTAGGAGCGCTGAACAAAGGCATAATGGCACAAACACAAAAGGTGGCATTAGAGATGATAAAGATGCAAGTGGTTCATTGGTGGCCGAAGAAACAAACAGGTATGTCTTTGCTACTTGAACATGAATTTCTTAGTACTTTTCATTGTCATTGTTACTCAATTTTGACCATTGAATACTGATACATAAGGTTGTTAATGGTGGTCTGGAATTCTGGACACTTGAAACTTATAGTGGGTAGAAATGTTTTCAGAGTAGTTCACCTTTTTTGGCTTCCGAGAGACTAGGGACAATCCAATTACCTTGTGCTAAGATTGCTATAATTATTAAACACAGGCACTCACTATTTGAACTTTGAACTATAGACCTCCAGGTTAAAAAGGCACTGGTAACGAATTGAAAAACCATGCACTTGGAAACTTAATGGTTTCGGTTAGGATTTAATAATAGTTTGCAATCTTGAACATATTGCTAGAAGTTCTCTACTTCATGTACATTCCTCCTTTCCGCTGCAAATTTTGTGTAGAAAGAAACTTATAGAGGCAAAGTTGGCAAGAATCTGTTCGGCTGTTCTAAAGTATTTAACTTTGCGTTCCATCTTGAGTGTTTGTGTGTGTATTTCTCTCTTTTTTTTTATTATTTTGTCTTCATTCTTAATTAATCCAATCTTCCAGTCAATTCTTTCTCTTGTTATTTTAAATATTGGTTTTTTCAGGTGCTCTGGTTTTATGGATGTGGAAACTGACACAAACCCTATAGATAGATCCATAGCACACTTACTATTTCATAGGCCTTCAGATCCATCTCTAAGGCCTATTACCGATAATGCATCTTTCAAGTCTAATGGCAGGGTATGCATTTCCATTACAGCTTGTTGTTTTTTATGTTGAACTTGAAGAAAGTTCATATTTTGTAACCTTAAAGCCTTATTCTGTGGATTGGAATGACAGATTCGTGGCTCTATCACTAATCCACCTGTGATGTCCAAACAACACAGTTGCCGCGAAGAAACTAATGCCGGTTCAGATAAAAAAGTGCTGACAAAATGTGACAGCAGGTAACTGGGAATCTGTTAACATCAGTGCAACCCTTGTAAAATGTAATCTATTTTGTTGTATGTAAAGTGTTTGTCTTGAGGCCTTAACATAAGATGCAGGTTGGTTCTGTGTTTTAGACTTTGGTTTGTTAGATACACGATGTTTTTGGTCTGTGTTGTTATAAATCCTTGTAATGGTTTGTGGTAAGCTACTTGTTCGCTTATCTATCACTAGTACATAAAAAAATTTCTGTTTTCTTTTCTCAAAATATTCAGCCTTCTTGCCACAAATTTCCTGGAATTTCTCTTATATAACGATAATTAATTTTTTGATTTATGAATGTATATAATTTTTTTTTTTTTGGTTTTACGGATATATATATGGTTAGATTTTTTAATGTTTTGGGGGGTCGAGTTTGTCTCTTTAAAGATATACTCGGTTGATAGTCTGCAAAAAGAATGATTGAGCAGATAAAATGGTGTAGTAACTTTCTTTTACTACTTTATATTAGTTTACTCTACGTAAATCTGATACAGTAACATGAAATAAAAATAATAATGAAAATTATGTTTTAAAAAAATGTATTTTGTATTTATTTGTATTAATGTGAATTTTGATACAATATAATTTATATTTTATATGTGTTTGACATATTTAGAATACATATAAAATGTATAAAAATATTTTAAAAAAAATATTATTGGAATATATACTTTAAATATGACATAATATAAAACATATATTTATAAATTTATTCATATTCTAATAATTTATATTTTTTAATTTATTAACTAAAAGTTACTAAAATTTCTTACCTAACCCTAAAATTTTTTTCCCCTTTCACTCTTTCATTTCAGTCGCAGCCCGCAGCAAGAAAGTAACCTTCCTTCCCTTTTCCTTAGTCTTTACCCAAAACTCACTTTCTTAACCATCGGTCACTCGTCCGCTCTTGCCTCATTCATTTCTCTCACCGCCTCTCATATTTTTCATTTCTCAATTATAGTCCAGAAAGCAGTCAATAGTATTAAAATAATAAAACAGAAGTATTGATGAGAAATTAAGAATTATGATACCAAATATAGGAAAGGTAATATCAAACGTAATATGAATAATTGTTTTAGCAGAGACACGCGTTGCATAGGTCAAATGAAATTTTTTAAAGATCATGGGTTTGTGATAGTGAGATATATCAAATTTGATTTTGAAAATTTTCATAAAAAATTAGTAGCTATAATGATTATGCATAATTTGTCTTTGTCTTTTGTAGAGTATAGTGGTATTAGAGATTTATTTTTTTATTTGCATGATGATGTGATTTTAAATCTAAAAAAATTACGAAATCTAATATTTTTAAAATGGTAAAAGAGAAAGAAGTTGAAATAACTGTTGAAGGAAATACCTAGTAAGATTTGTTTGACATATGATTTATAGATTTTTATTAATATTGTGGGTATTTATATGCTATTGCTCATTTTATTGACTAAGATTGGAAATACAAAAAAAAAAAAAAATCTTAAAATTTTCATTTATACCCCTTTTACACAATAGTGTTGCATTGAGTGAAAAAGTGTATTCATTGCTAGTTGAATGGAAAATAGAAAATCAATTATTCTCTGTACATTATATAATGCTTATACTAATGATATTTTTTATTGATTTTTTGAAATTACAATTAAATGTATGAAAAACACTTGTAGGAAATGATCAATTTTTTCATATGAAGTGTTGTGCTCGTATTTTGAATTTGATAGTCCAAGATGGCTTGAAAGAGGTTGATGAATCTGTAAAAAAATGAAGAAAAATATTAAGTATGTGAAAGGGTCTCAAGTTAGAAAACAAAAATTTTTAGAATATGTGAACCTACTTAATTTAAATAAAAATAGAGGATTGAGACAAGATATTCTAATTAGTTGGAACTCCACATATCTCATGTTTCAAAATGCCCTTTATTTTTGCATGGTTTTCTCTCACTTGAAAATTAGTTATTCAAATTATAAAAATTATCCATCTAAATCGGAATGGGATAACATTGAGAAATTGAACCAGTTCTTAATTGTTTTCATTGACGTTCCTTGCGTGTTTTTTAGAATAAAGTAACCTATTGCCAACTTATTCTTCCCTTCAGTTTTTCAAACACACTTGATCTTGAATGAACACATGAATGAAAATGATGTATAGTTAAAAAAGATGGATATAATGATGTTTGATAAGTTTGAGAAGTATTGAGTTTAAATTTAGCTTGATTTTAGCAATAGTTATGATATTGGATCCTCGTTACAAGTTATAATTTGTGTATTTGAGTTAAAAGAAGCTTTATGAAAATAATTCAATAGAGTTCAAAATAATTTGTTTTCCTTTTATGATGAATATGCTGGTGTTGTCAATGTTGTCAATTCTTCTATTTGTAGTTCATTCTCAATTGTTTTTAATATTTTTAACGACCAAACTATTGATGAGAAATCTAGCATAGCTACAAGTTCACGTAAAAAGGATGTTTGGAAGATAATTCGTTTATTTTAAAGTTTCATTTTTTCTTACCTTTTAATTTTTTGTAATGTTTTATTATAAATTCTATTTTTTTATTATGATACATTTGAATTTTTTAATTAGAAGTTTGACACTTTTGACATTGAGAATGGTGTTACTATAGAAAAGTTCAATTAAAGTTGTATTTGGAAGAACAAAGGAATGATAGGACATAAGAGTTATATATTTTGCAATTTTGGAAGCAAAACCTATTTTGGTATACTGAGCTTGCAGCCATTGCACTAGGGATGGCAGCCCCACCTGTGCTTAACAGGTTTCGACCTGACCCAACATCTTAAGGTTAATTTTTTTTTTTGAAAATCGGGTTGGCTCGGGTTTGATAACATTAAAAAAATTTTAGGGTCGAGTTGGGGTCAAGGTCGGGTTTAGGCAAACTCATCATAACCTAATTCGATATATATAAAAAATTATTATTTATTATTTATTTAATTATATATGTTTATATATATTTAATTTTATATTTATATTAAAAATAATATTTTATATTTAAAAAATATTTTATTAATTTCGGGTTATATACGATTTTATATAATATCGGATCGGATCGAGTTCAAGTATTATATATATAAAGTCAAGTCAGGTTTGAAAAACCCGTCCCGACTCAACCCGTTGCCATCCCTACATGGCACGACATATCTTGAACATTCCTATTTCCATAGTAGCATCTAGATCTGTTTTTAGTGTTGATGGTAAGGTTCTCGACCAATATTATAACTTACTTAAGCTAGAAATTGTGGAAGGCATTGTTTGTTGCAAGAATTAGTTATTTGGAGAACTTGCTTATGAGAGCTTAAATGAGATGATAAATGGTATCATCAACTTGGATCTTAGCAAATAAAGTTTTTCTTCGGTAAAGTTCTCTACTTCATTTCAAGTTAATTAATCTTGTTGAGTTGTATTGACTCATATTGAATTGTTTTTTGAATATACTGACCTGGTAGATTGGTATGCCTTATTTGTTGAATTGGGCATGATGTTTGATAATATGTTGATATACTGGACATTGGCTTTGATATTTGTGAATTATTTTTCTATTTTATATATATATATATATATTATGGAGTATGGAATAAATTAAAGACTTATTTTTTTATATAAGGGACTGTTTAATGTCTTGAGCGGAACATAACTTATGAAGGTTAGAGACTTGCACTTGATGTAATGTAATTTACACTATGTAAATATATAATAAGGCATAAGCTACTAACTATTGTTTAATATTTAGTGTTTAGTGTCTTCAGGAATTTAATACCTAGTCTTAGCTTATGCTTAAGTGTAACTTGTAAGTTATAAATGATGAATAATTCATAGTTGTTAATTATTTTAACCGTGTTTTCGTATATATTAATGTTTGTCAAGTCTATTCATGTATATTAGTGTGAATCGTGTTTATTTTTATCATCTTTAAACAGATTAATTGTACACGTATTAGTTATATCGTATTAAGTAATACGCATATAATAAATGTATCATATTCGTATTTAAAATTTAAACATGTTTTATAATTTATATTGTGTTTACATTTTAATAATTCATATTATTATATATCTCAAACATGACATTAGACATGATATGAAAACATGAATTATCAAATCTGAATTTGCGCAAAAAGTTCTGCCAAACCTTACCCACCTCACAAGGCAACAATATTGCATCTCCTCCAAGTTCTAACATGGTGATTGAAGGTTCAGACAACTAAACTTCAGTATAAAATTTTCCTCAGTATAAACAGCCTGTAACTCTCTAGTATTTGATTGCTTATTCCAGAGAATCTTTTAGGTCTTTGACTAGTTGCGGTTTAGTTACATATAGCCTTTCTTTCAAGTATCGAATACAAGAGACAACCCAAATACTCATTTACTTCTCAATTCTCATGCACAAAGTTCCGCAACTTGTAAAATAAGTAAACAGAGAACATACATTAAACAGAAACAAGTCAGCTATAGTACATCACATTCTGGAACAACGCTCAAATACCAACCATGTAATTCATCAAATGATTTCGAGGTTCCCTAACTAAACAACTGATAGTGCATGAACTATATCAAACTCTAAAACACTAACATTTTCCAAGGTGCAATACTGGAATATTCAACTAGTCAAACTGTTGCCTGAGCTGCATCTCTGTTTCACTTTTCCAGGTTCCATGCGATGACTGGCCCTTCATTCTCTTACTCTTCTCTTTCTCTTTGATAGTAGACCCCTTCTTCTTGGGGTCTTTGTCACTGTCTGCAAGAGGCCGATCACGACACACTGGACAGACCATGCCTCTAGCACTAGAGTAAGTCTTTGGTATTCCACATTGCAGGCACATCCTATAAACATAAAATATTTAGGCTAAGATGAAATTCCAACAAAATTTTATATGGTGCATGCATAGACACTTTAAAAAGGCCACTGTGCATGCAGTGCATTACATATTAGACCCAGAAGCCGTTATAACCACCTAAATAAACTCCTGTACAGTGACTTTTCTAACTTCCAATATAACCTTAGCAATAGCAGGTGTAATGAATAGCAAGGGGCACCAGAAAGAAAGAATGGAAAAGGACTGGTCTAAATTCATGCTGAAAACAATCAAGATGTACCTCAAAAGCTCTGCAGCATCTTCTGCATTAGGATTTGTTGCAGATGCCACCCGCTTCGTTCCATCCTGCGTGGTGCTTGGAACTGCTGATGTCGGAGGCTTGCTACCCTCAATATCACTTCTCACTCGCTCATGGATTCCAACAAGCTGAGCTTTGGCCTCTACCACTGCACCTTTAAACAATCAAGAAACCATGTTATTCATACAATGGAAATAGCAGTGAGTATAGAGACAGGTTGATAAAAGTATGGTTTTATACTTTAAATTTCTCCAAGAAGCATCACTTAAAAAGTTACAAATACTAAATGTAACATGTATACTACAGGCTATTGAACAGAATTGAGCATTTCAAAAACCAACAAATTAATCCATTGACATCATTCCACACTGAAACTGCCAAAATGTAACATCTATTTTAATGAAACATTTCAATTGAAGCATAATCCAGAAGCCTGCCACAGGCACCAAAGGAAAAAGATCTAATAGGAAAGTTTGCTCTTCTACCATTGAAGTTCTACCTTCTTTCTGCAAACTAAGCAATACAAAAAGAGAAATTTGTAATGGAACTTGAAAAAGAAAAAATATGAAAAATACCGGAAGGCATATCCTTCTTGTCTTTGAAATCCCTCCGGCCACCGCGCCTTCCTTGCCGATGGTCCAAGTCAGTTGCTGAAGTCTGTTCCTCAACGGCATGGTTTAGAAACTCCGGTGGTCCTGAAATCTCCAGAAACCAACAAGAGAACAGATACCCTTAAAAAAGTTAGAAAAAACCCAAACCATCATCATCAATTTCACCTCACTTCAGTAACATAAAAAATCTAAAACAAAAAAGAAAAAGGAAAAAGAAAGGCCTTTTAATCCAATTTCAGTTGGTGAGAAAGAAAAGGAACACGAACAAAGGAAATACTTGTACTAACAAAGTTTCTAATTTTATTTCTTATAAATCTCAAACTTACTTTTCTCCGAATTTCAAGAATTTTCTACACATTATTAGCAAAAGGTTTATTTTTTCTTGCCAGGCAAAAAAAAAAAAAAGAGGGCAAAAATTATAGCAAAATTATAAAAGAGAGAAATATAGGGCGAAAAAGTTATACCTGGGAAAAGGCGTCGAATGCGGAAGGAAGGGCGGATTTACGGGAGGGATCGGGGAAATCGAAGACGGAGGAGTCGTATCTTTTGGGAGCTGCGGAACGGTCTATAACACCGATGTCGCCGTCTTCGTCGTCGGAAGAGTCGCGGTTATCAATCTGCTGATGCTCCGCTGCTTCTTCATCTTCCGCAGAAGAATAGCCTTGCAGGAGTGACAAGCTCATTGCACCTCTTTCACGTTTAACCTCTGTCTTCTCTCTCTTCAAAAGGGGACGGATTTCGTTTCACCAGCGATGGTTTTGCCCTTTTATTATATTTATATCACTTTTTTTTTTGGCGAAATATGATTTGATTGGTATTTTTAATTTTTAAAATTACGATACAATAAATTTTATATTTTATATTTATTTAATATGAATCAAAGATAATAAAAATACATAAAATTTTCAAGTGTAAAATCAATTACAAATTATTTGAGATTTATTTTAAAAAAAACCAAACTTAATTCTATCATCCATTACTCAATTAATTAGCAAGTCTAATTAAAGTTTAATAAGAAGATGAAAAATTTTAATCAATTTAACAAAAACAAAAGCCAGTTGACAAATGGAAAATAGGGTTAATATCTAAGGTAAAATCGGCAACAATGCCAACCGGAAACGCTGGTTGCTATTCTAGAAAGAAACCAGAGGAATCAATACGTTATATCTTTTGCATCACATTTCTGAAATGTTTCCTGTTCTCCCAATTCAGGTAGGTCTCCTGGAGAAAGTTGCTTCAAACTAAGACACATTGCCAAGCCTATTCTTGAACAACAGCAAGGTAGTTTCAGGACTCAATTAACTCGGCAAATGGCAAGCCATCAGAGTTATGCATTAGAAAGTAGCTTGGCATAGACCGTAGACCGATCCGGTTCCAGCATCATTTGCCAACACACATGCTATTGTAGCCTGGATGTCTATCCTAAACAGGTTAACTGCAAAGGACAGATTAAAAGAATGCATAATGATATTGTGCCAGGAAGAGGTTGAAACTAGAGATCATCTCTTTTTCACCTGCAAATTCTAAGGAAATCCGGCAGAGGACGTTGAACATATCAGGTGTTCAGAGACAGGTGGGTGATGATTGGGCACTCTGAATTTCACCGTCCAGGACTAAGCTTTAGGGGGATAGCTCTCTTCACTCTCATCACCAGGCTTGATCGAAATGCTTTATCCATCCTGTATGTTAGGAAAGAAGTTGGTTGTGCACTTCAACGTTGCATTGATTTGCTAGAGAATTAAATCCCCGTAAAATATAGGTTATAACTTCACTTCAGGTATAGATAAATCTGACTTTTTTTTAAAACACACTTTCAAGTGTAAATAACTCTGATTTTTTTTTTAAAACACACTCATAATTCTCACGAATGAGAATGATTCAGTCAAAATTTCACTCATGGTACTTTAAATAAAAAATCTTTTATTTTAATTCAATTATGTATAATTATGTATGATGATACTCTTCATATATTTTTCAAAAGACTTCAAAATTAATGTTAACATCTTACCAATTCACCATTAACTTTAAGTCTACTTTTATATCAAGTTCTGACTACTTTATATCTATATTGAGTCATGTTCACTTTATACGATTGATGAATTATCTTTAATTTTTTAAAATAATTTCAACTTTATATCAAATTACTTATAAGATCATGATTTTAATTATGATTTTGTCCTATTAGATTATTATGTTTTTACTTATTCTTTATATAAATAGTGTACTCTTTCTCCAAGAAAGCATCATAAAAAATCTTTTACAAATTTTTTGTAAGAAATCCTCTTTTATAAAAATATGTTTGATTAAAATTTTTTTTATTTTAATAATTCCGTTTTTCTTTTTTTATAGTTAAAGTTTCAGTTTCATGAATTCTTCTATTTATTTCATGATTTACAGTGATGTAAGTTGAGTATATTTTACAATTGTCATAATATCGTGAATCATCTGCATTAGAAATTTTTGTAAAATTATCAAATAAATCATTTATTCACTTCCTCAATAAAAAAAATTACTGTATCAAAATCATATTGAAATAAATTATTGTATTAAAAAATATATTTTCATAAAAATCATGTCATCAATGATGTTAAATCAAAAAGATACCAAAATTTTGAACACCGACTAAAATAAGTTAATTATGTATTTGATCTATAAATTACTTATATTTAATATTATTTTAATAAAATAATTAATTCATACATTATTAAAATAATATCATATAATATTATCATGACTTTACTATTCAAAAAGCCCAAAATTAAAACCGTAAGTTACCATTGACACTGCTATACTTCACTACTATACTTCACTACCTATTATTAGTGGTGCTATTCAGTTACCACTAATAATAACAATAATTTAAAAGTAATATTTTACCTCTTTTTAGGAATTTATTAAAGTCCAGAAACGGGAAAAAATTCCATTCAGAGGAAAGAAAGTATAAAGAAAAAAAAATCAAATGTGAATTTGGTGTTGCATGTTTTGACGTTTTAAGACACCAAGTTTGACTTTGACCCACCGATGCTTTGAACAGATATGATGTCTATTTATGTAAATTGACAGAGACCAGGCCTGAGGTAGTCCTTTACCTGGGGTCATCGCCTCATTCTCCGGCCGTTACTCCTCTCTCTGTCACCTTCTTCTCTCCTCGTAAGCGCCGTCTTAAAAAAATCTACCTTTTTTTTTATACTGCGTCCATTTATCTCTACATATTTATTTATTTCTAATAAAAAAAGAAAAAATAATTCAAAGAAGTTTTGCTTTTTCTTTTTTTAAGAGGGTTCCAAGCAAAACTTGGTGCCTTTTTTCTTTTCGTTTCTGCTCATTTTTCCAACGCCGGTGAAGGGTGGTGGCCATGGAGAACATATATAGCAAGCTACGAAATTTGGATGCATACCCAAAAGTCAATGAAGATTTCTACAGCCGTACACTCTCCGGTGGCATTATCACCCTCGTTTCCTCTCTTGCCATACTCCTTCTCTTCTTCTCCGAATTCAGTAAGTCCTCTCTCACACCCCTCTTATTTTGTTTATTCTGCGGATTTTTTTCATATAGATTAATTTTAGAAAATTGGTTTTTTTTTTTTTTTTAAATTATACCCAATATTTAATCCGGTTGAAAGGTAAGATCTTTGAGGAAGTGGTCGAGTATTGGGCGATCACGCCCTTCTAAATTGATATAAATTGTTGTACTATTGTAGAAACAAATGCCTTTAAAACTTCATTGTTTTTTGCTTCTAATTTGGTCTCCACTTTCAAGAGAACCAAAAGTGGAGGAAAGGTGTTAATGCTCTAAGCAGCTGACTGGAAGTTAAGCAACATAGCCTATAATGAAATCAGTACTCTATGTTTTTCATCATAAGAATGATTTTTCTAGTTGGAACCTGGTGATTTTTAATTCTTCAATCATGGTTATTGTTATTATGTGGACTTTTTCATAGGATTATACCTGCATACCGTCACTGAGACGAAGCTATTGGTGGATACTTCAAGAGGAGAAACCCTACGCATAAATGTAATCATCTCTCTTTCCACTTATTGTTAAAGGAGTTACCTAGACTCATATTCCAAATTCATTGACCTGTAAAAATTAGTGTTATGCAGTGTTTTAAGGTTGTGTTCTGTTTTTGTAATATTTTTGAAGTAACTTTATGCTTGTTCTTCTACTGATGGGCGGTACTCAAAGGAATTGTTAGAGCCTTTTATGTTAAAAATATAATCCTTTTTGGTTGTTGTTTTATCCTATTTGTAAAACAATCATTCATGCTTTATTTTGTTGACACCGCATATTTGTTTGGACGTGCAGTTTGATGTCACTTTTCCTGCTATTCCATGTTCGCTACTCAGTGTTGATGCTATGGATATCAGTGGAGAGCAACATCTTGACATAGTATGTGCAGTACAGCAGATGCTCAGATGAATACTGCTCACTGTTTTTACTGTTCATTTTGATTTATTTTATTACTTCCAATTAGCTTTTCACAAATTCTTTGTCTGCTTGCATTTGTAACCTCACAATTTTTTTGAGTGCAGAAACATGATATAATTAAGAAAAGAATCAATTCCCATGGTGATGTGATGGAATCCAGGCAGGATGGTCTTGGAGCACCAAAGGTAGTTAAAAGATAATTCTCTAGCCCATCTTATGCATGTCCATTTGTTGCATGTCTTGGTTTTGAAAGATGGTTTCCCTTTTGTAAACTATTTTTAATGAGGCCTACACAAACTATGCATTTAATAAATGACATGAAAATTAGAAGGACATATTACAAGGTTGACATTATGCTGGATAAGAACAATTGAAAGATATAAATTATTGAGGAAGTCAAGATAGTAGGGTCGATTTTGAATCATCCTTTCTGCAATTGGGAATGATGCTGAGAAGGTTATGGAAAAATTTGCCAGAATAAGGAAGAAACTACCCCTGATTCTTAGCCTGTCATTAATAAGGATAAGAAAGATCTAAGGATGGAGGTGAAGGAAAGATGTTATGCTTCCGAATGTAATTATAGGTAGTCCATTTCATGCAAATGGTATGAAATTCTTCTGCAGGCCAAACATACTTGGCTTTTGCTGAACATATTGCACCTATAGGCTATATAGCCTTTAAGGAAAGTCGGAGATTACAAGGAATTCTACAATTGATAGTTTTACATGTTGACTCTTTCTGGGTTAACTAAGAATTAGCAACCTTTACATTCTCTTTTTTTTGGAGGGTGACCTTTTCATTTTCGATACTTTATGATATTTTTTTCTCCACATCCTTTTAATTTCCTTTTCAACTAATTTCATATTTCATCCTCATGAAAGTATGATTTGTGTTGATTAGCACGAGCATCACTTAGTCCTCAGTGCCATTCAACTTGATTAGAGATATAAGATGCAAAAGGGGAAAAGAATCCACTACTGTCCCTATTTTAGTTGGATTATATTTCTACTTCTGATGAGAGAGGATTTGTTAATGGGATCATCGATACTCATTGTTTAATAAGTTTTTACAATCTATTGCATCTCTTGTGGAGGGCAGTTTTAGTGAGGATCAACCAACAGAAGTTTCCAAGGTGAGTGTAAAATTTAAAACTAATGGTTCATAGTTTCTGATTGAGAACATGGTGTTTGGAACTTTTTGTTTTCTTGAAGGTTCCTGAAAGTTTGAAGGTTAAAGGTAAAAGTTGATGAAAAGTAAAAGTCTACACTGCCAGAAAGAAAGATGAGGTTCGAGACTGATTCTGTGGGTTAATCAGTTTAACCAATCAGGGAAGACACCTGAGCTTCTAGGCTCCATAAACCATATTTGAGTATTTAATTGGTAATGAGTGGAGTTACAATTTTTGATGGCTGTACTTTTGTATCAAGGACCCTGGTACAGTTGTCTGATTGCAGTAGTCTCTGATTATTGAATTGTTGCAACCTTTTTCCCTAAGTCCTTGACATATTGGCATTTGGATGGATGGTATCACTGCTTTGTTAAATAGTCTTCATCATGTTTCTTTTTAACTGCTTACTTGTTTATTTTGATACCTCTATTTAGTTTGTTTCTGGCTTAATTTTCTTTCTTTTTTTTTTCGCCTAGATTGAGAAACCTCTGCAAAGACATGGTGGCAGGCTTGAACACAATGAGACATATTGTGGTTCATGTTTTGGTGCAGAACAGGCATGTTTGATATCTGGAACCCCTTATGTTACTATGTTATTAATTTAATTTTTGAAGCATGTTGAATAACATCTTTTAGGTGATAACAAGGATATGAAAGTGGTTGACTAGTAATGGCTGCGAAAATTTTCCTGAAACATTTGAGAAACAATTTATTGCTCTGAAAACCAGGAAATTTGCTTGTGTGATCAGGCTTGGTTTAGTTTGTTGTAATTAATGTCTAGTTTATCCCTCTAATTTTTTATCAGCTAAAAAAATGCATCTTTCATGCTATTGTATGCAAATAAAAAATCTTGGAAAAACTACAACATTTGATGTCAAATACAACTTTAACTCTTTCTGAGAACAAACTAGTGTTTTGTTAAGAAACTAGGTGAATGCAACAAACCATAGTAAGTAAAGTGTACTCTGGATATGGGGCTTCTTTTTCACCTTTTGGGAGCTTAATGCCTGCTGAGCTTAATGCCAAATTTTCTGGGTTAATTCAATTCTGAGGTTCTCGGATCTTGTTTTGCAATTGTTAGTTTGCTAGCATTGCAATTTAAAATGTTGACAGTAGAGAGTGGTAAAATCCTCTTAAAGAAATTTTTAATTGCAATTAAAATCTCTCCAAGAGATTTCCTGTGCCTTAAGAAAGCATTATACTTGAAGCTCATATTAGTGCTCTCTGCAAAATTGATAAAGAAATAAATGAGTTACATGAACTGAGCGGTTTGAAAATTTTACCATTGGCTTGTTGTGGAATCAACCGCTGAAGTTAGTATGATTAAATGATGTCAAGGATGGTATTCAAACATAATTGGAATGCTTATCCTATATATAACATTTTAGCTAATTATTTGATTGTTTTTGTGTGCCACTTATGAAAGGTTTTCCCTTTTCCCTCTCTATGGTGCAGTCAGATGATGACTGTTGTAACTCATGTGAAGAGGTTCAAGAGGCATATCGGCGAAAAGGGTGGGCAATGACTAATGTGGACTTGATTGACCAGGTTTCTTTGCAAGTTCATTTCCCAATATTTTCTTGTTGCTGCTGGATATTTATATGCTGCGTGTGCTAAGATTTAATGGGATCTTTATATTCTGCAGAATTTTCATCCCTTGCTCCCTAGCTTGGGAAAACAAATCCTACTTTCTGGCTTTATATTATCTCTGCTCTTTTTCACATTTTTTTTCTGGTTTTCCAGTGCAAAAGAGAAGGCTTTTTCCAAAAGATAAAAAATGAGGATGGTGAAGGATGCAATATTCATGGATCTCTTGAAGTTAATAGAGTTGCTGGAAATTTTCATTTTGCACCAGGGAAAAGCTTTCATCATACAAATTTTTTTCTTGATGACTTGCTAGCTTTCCAGAAGGACAGTTATAATGTGAGGCTTATCTTTGTATTTAACTTCTTTTTGTGTTCGTATATAATTGTGCTTTACTTGTGACATGAATTTCAAATGGTAATGTTGTTTTATATTTATGGTGTACAATACAGATAAGTCACAGAATTAATAGGTTAGCTTTTGGTGAATACTTCCCTGGTGTGGTAAATCCTCTTGATGGGTAATTTGTTCTTTCTTTTTATTCATGGAACTCACACACTTTAAAGACTGTTTATTCTTTCTGGCATGTTTCTTTTCTAACTGAAAGTGAAGCAGAATCCAAATACTGAAAATTTTAATGGTTGTTTCATATTTCTATTTCAGGGCACAGTGGATACATGAAACCTCAAATGGTATGTACCAGTATTTCATCAAGGTTGGTATTGTAAAGTATCTATCACTGCTCCTTGTTTTTAAGCTCTTTTAATTGACATATGAATGTTATCCTGTGATTTTAGCTTTCATTTTCATGCCCGTGGTGATGGGTTGGGGGAATTATTTTTGATGTGCATAATAATTGTGGGCTTCACCTAGGACATATTTCAACTGCTCTTGTTTTTTCTTTGAAAAAGAACAAAAAAGGTTTTGGAGGATGGATTATGTCTCTCTCTCTCTCTCTCTCTCTTTCTCTGAGCGCACAGCATACGGTCATGTGATTTATGTTGTGCAGTATAGCATTGTGAACTGATATATCTTGTTTAATTTTTCAGGTGGTCCCCACAATATATACTAACATCAGAGGCCGCACTGTTCACTCAAATCAGGTACTGGTTGACAGTTGACACATTGAGAATAAGAATCACATTCTTTTATCATATTTGTTGGATCATGTTCTGAGATGTGCCAGCATTCCTTTTGCACAGTATTCCGTGACGCAGCATTTCAAGAACTTAGAGTTCATTCACCTTAATTCTCATCCTGGAGTTTTCTTCTTCTATGACTTTTCTCCAATCAAGGTCGGTTCCTTTTATGCACACCTTCCAATCTTTTATGTAGTTTCATGAGGATATATGTATCAGTAGAATCCTTCCATTATTCCCCATTTTGCTTATCATTTGTCTTCCTGTTGGATGTTTGCTTTGTTATAAGTTGTTTTTATTTCTTCATCGTTGCTAATGAGTTTTCTTATATTTGAATTGTTATTTATGAAAAGATAGAAACATAGCTTATTCTGAGGTGATTAGCGTTTGAACTTTGAAATTATCTTAGGAACTAAAATCTTCTTTTCTTTCTCCCCCCCTTCCTTTATCCCTTATCTCTTCACTTCAAAACAGAAAACTTGAAGTAAACATGATAGTCTGCATATATTAGATATTAAACGAATAACATTGCTATGTAGCCGAAATAAAAAATAATAAAAAAAGGATATAACATTGCCTTTCATTTTGCCCTGTGCAGGTCACCTTTGAGGAGGAACATATTTCATTTCTGCATTTTATCACCAATATATGTGCAGTGATTGGAGGTACTATCTTTACTAACTCCAATCTCCCTCGATCATTTCCTGTTTAATTGAATACTCCAAACCCTTCTACTATAAGTTGTCTCTGTAGCCAAAAAAATATAGCATGTCTTGTAAATAAACCTAGTCCTAGTAATTCTCTCCCTGGTTTGGACTTGGATAAACTAAGAGTTGGTTTTTTTTTTTTTAATTTCCTAATGCATTGGCTAGCCTTATCAGTTGGTATGTTAGTTTCAAGTGACAAAGATCTGTGTTATTGTTATCTAGGTATCTTCACAGTTGCGGGGATAATTGACTCATTCGTATATTATGGTCAAAGAAAGATCAAGAAGAAGATGGAAATTGGCAAATTCAGATGATATTTCTGCATAGTATTCCAGGATGCTGCCTTGGCTTCCAGCACCACAATATTTGGACGGTTGGAATGATAAATTGATCATGCTTTTCACAGGGATCCATGCTGCTTTATGCCAAAAGACTATGTCACAAATTGGTCGCCCAATCATTTCCCAAATTGTCTGTTTTTCCTGAGTTCTTCCCTACTTTTACTTTCACTGAGAAACAGAATGAAAAATGGAAATCCTTGCCTAGTTTAGATAATTGTAATTTAATGAACGTTGATTTTTAGTTCAAAGTTTGATCAACTCTTTTGTCATTCTGCAGAATCACGGGTTAAAACTGTAGGTGAGAAGAATCTATGTACTTGTAATTTGTAATTGGTTTTGGTCTTTTGATTCTTATTAATGGGAAGTGCTTATGGATGTCATCAAGTTGGGGTAGTCCAGGTTTTTTTTTTGTCTCTAGTTTGATCTGATCTTTTAAAAGTTACGTTTCATTTCATTTTGATCCGATTTGATATTAAAATATTATTTTTATATTCAACTCATATATTTATAAATCATAATAGATTTGATTTAATTTGATATTAATTTAATAATTTAAATTTAATATAATATTTATAAAATATTATTTGTGGATATAAATTATATTTTAATTATACATAAATATAATATTTTTATTAAATTAATATTTTAAATTAAATTATTAAATAGTAATTTTTTAATATAATATATAATTAAATATAGAATAAAAAATATGTTTTTTATATATACTTAATTTAATATATAATTAAATAAACAATAAAAAATACATTTTTTATATATTCTCAAATCAAGTCAAGCAGTCAAGCAATGCTCAGTTTAAAATAAAATTAACATGCCTTCAACTTGAAGGTCAATTTAATTTAAAATAAAATTCAATTGTCACAAATTATATTGAATAAATCCAAATTCAATAAATATAAGATATTTTGTCGATATTAGTATTTTTAAAATCTTAGCATACTTGTTTGAATGTTTTTACCATGGTTTGATTTAGATTTGATTTGATTTTTTAAAATATTATATAAGATTATAAATTTTTAAAATTTGATTTTAATTCGAATTAAATTTTAATATAATTCGAATTGAAATGAATCGAATCTAATTTTATCAGTTCGATTTGATTTGATTTATTATGTTAGCTTAAATATTTGAAATAAACCAAGATGAGGGGTGAAGTGGTTATAATAAAATTTTTAAAATCAATATTTAATAAGCATAAATTCTACAAACTAATTTATTTAAACAAATAAACATAATAAATTAAAGTAAACAAGAGAAATAAATAAAGAATTAGACATCAAGATTTATAAAGGTTCGATCTTTTTTTTAGGCAACTACGTCTTCTCCCTTAGCCTTTTTTTCAAGGAGTTTAATCTGCTATGTGTTGAAAGATACAACCTAGCTTCTCAAAACTTTACACAATCAATATCACAAGCTCTTAAGGGTTATCCTTCCCCTTAAACTCACAATCTCATAATACAAAGTTTCTAAAGTGTTTTGCAAACTTAAAGAACCTCTCTAAGGTTGGGTGTTTGCTAACTTGAAGTACATAACAGTATTAACAAAGAAATTTAGAGAAAAACTGATATAAGTAGGATTTTCTGCACTTTTCTCTATTTAAATTGCTTTGAATGCTTGAACAAGATGGTTGTTGAACGGTAATAAATTCTCTTAGCTCTTCTTACTCTTGTTCTACAGTGAAAGGTTTCATTTATAGGTAGGAAGAAGTTGAGAGCCATTGCCTTGCATTTAATGCTTCAAACCTGTAAAAAATTAAACAAAATATAGCCATTGGGGCTTTCTGGGCATTAGGGGATTGATCCCCTCCTTTAGGGGATCAATTGGGTTAGGTTTGAGGTAGCCCAAATACGTGCCTAAGAAGTTTTACTTGATCAATAAGGTAATGCACCTGATCGATCCATTCTTAGGTGATCGATCTCTTATGAAGAGGGATCGATCCCTTTTGTTCATTTTCAAACCAAGATTACATTCTGTCAAGAAAACAGATCGATCTTTTTTATGAAGGGATCGATCCCATGCTTAGGTGATCGATTCCTTATATAGGGGGATTGATCCATTTTTTGAAATTTTTCAACGAGATAACATTCTGTATAAAAAAGTGATCGATCCCTTTAAGGGATGAATCGATCGAGTAAGCTTGAAACCTCAACCAATCAATCCCTACAAGGAGGGGATTGATTGATTTTCGTCAAAACTTCACGAAATTTGGTTTTGAAAGAAAAATGATCGATCTTTTTACTAGGAGATTGATCGGGTAAGGGAGGGGATCGATCCCTTTTATCAAAATATACCTTAATCCATTTTATTTCGAGAAATTGTCTTGTTTTGAGTTCTTAAATAAATTTTGACAAGATAGAAGGCTGAAAAAATGTTCAATTTAAGATTATGAGAGATTGATTCAAGTTAGACAAAATTTTGTTTTGTCAAATCAAAACTTTTAATCAATTTAAGGCCAACAATTTTTCCTTTTTTTATATGACAAAACCAAGTGAAAATTTTGCTTAAAAATATTTTTTCATTTGAAAAACAAGCCCCCCTGAATTTATGAAAAACAAGCTCCTTCTGAATAACAATATAGCTCCCCCTGAATTTAGCATAAATTTTAAAGCAACTAAGAACAAAACCAATGTCAATATCATCAAGTAAAAATTTATTCATACCATCAAAAGCATCAGTATCGTCAAGATCATCAAAGAAAATTTTCATACCATTATCTCTCTCCTTTTTTGTCATAGCAAAAAGGATAAAGCTAATCAAAGTGAGATAACAATCAATTCAAGGCCACACTAACTCAATATGACAACTTAAGTTCATATCAATCTTAATGTTAAGCAATATACCAATCATCAAACAATATATCAATTTCACAGGCCATAATGTCACAAGCCATATCATAAAGAAGATGAAAGATAGATTTCATTAATAGAAACATCACATATAAAAGTTTGATAACAAACTACAATGCAAAGTGTTTTTAAAGATAAATTTACAACATAAAAAAATGTGAAAAAACATGAAGAATGGCACTAGAAAGGATCATTGAGGAGGAGGTGGAGAATGAAGAGATTGATGAGGTTGAGGAGAATGAGAGAAATGTCGCCCTATATGCTGTTGTATAGCCCACATTTGTTTAATGTCAGCTCTAATTTGGCGAACTTGAGAAACTAGCTCATTTTGAGTTTTTTTTTTATATTTTTCAATCGAGTGTTCATAATCCCAACCATCGAATGCTGATTGTTCATTTAAAGTATAAGCATTTTTAAGGCTCCTTAGGTATCAAATGGTGGGGTACAAAGTTCTTCTTGAGGTTTAGAATATTTGAAATTTCATGTTCTTCCCTTACTTTTTGTGCAACCCCAATATTAGTTTTGCTAACCCATAATCCTACTATATTTTAAATGTATCCTATACTATATAGGGTAGGAGCACTAAGAACACTAAATGGATCATTAAACACCATCTCTTTTATCAGTATTAACATCCAATTTTCTTAAAAGATTACTAATGGCAAACCCATAGACCAAGGTGTAGTCTCTATTTTGTACTACCTTTATCATATCATTGAAAATAAAATGCACCAAATTGGATTTTTGTTGATGCTTGATCTTATACATCCATTAGTAATCTTGCTTCATTATGGTTGAGTATTGAAAGCCAAATGTGCCAACATATGAGTGATAATAAGATGTAACAACCTATCATGCATTGACAATCTAAAAGCTTGAGTATGAGCAACTTGTAAATTATTATTTCTAAATATATCTTGAGCTAGTTTCCACCGTATCACACATAGTATTGGTTTTTCTCTCATTATCTAGCACGAATGCTTCGGCTAACAACTGCTTGATAATTATAATTTCTTTTCCTATAACATATGTTCTAAATCTATTAAGATAGTATCTATCAACCATTACATTTCAATACAACTAGCATTACTATAAAAAACTTTTACTAGATTCTCAAATAAAAGTCCATCCATGCAAAAGTAATTTATCCATCCAAATCTCTCAAAAGCAGGTAAGTAAGAAAATTCTACAGATTGAAGAAATTTAAGTGAAATTACCCTTCCATGCTTGACTTCTCTATGAGCAGAATGTGTCTCATATCTTTTTTTTTTTGCATCTAGATTGGTAAAATTTTGATTGAATGAAGGCCTTATTGATGAGCTAAAAGCCTCCTTTGAGGGATTTCTCTTTTTTCTAGCACTTACTTTAGTCTTTGGAGCCATGAAAATGATGGAATAATGGAGATAGGTAAGCTTATGTGAAATTGATGAGAGAATTGGTGATTGTGGGTGATAAAGAGTAAAATATGTTTGAGAGAAGCAAAAATGATGGGTGAATGTGATAGTTTCAAAAGGGGATTAACTTTCTAGAATAAGAAGAATGGGTATCAAATTTTGTGTGATTTGATGATTTTCAAGGATGAATTTTACAAGAAACCAAGTTAAAATGAACGAATTTGCAAAAGATTTTGTTAAGAAGGATCAATTTTGAGTGAAAATGGAGTGAGAGTTCTTAAGGTTTGAAGAGAATGATTTTGGGGAAGAAGAAGAACAGGTGAAAGGGCTGGAATAATCGACTAAAGGATAAGGGACCTGATTTGAACGAGCCAAAATGGTGCGCATAAAGCTCATTGTGCATGACCTGATCGATCAGTTATGAAGGGGAATCGATCGGTTATGTTTTGCATTGGATCGATTGATTGGTTATGAAGGGGGATCGATAAGTTTTTCACGTTTTCAACTTAGTTTAGCTAATGGATGGAGACCCAATTGATCTTGTCCAAAAGGGATCGATTGGTTCCTCAATGTTTTCCATCAATTTGGTTATGAAAAGAACAACCAATCGATCCATTCCAAAGAGGATCGATCGATTTTGGCTGTAGCAATTTTTTTTTTAAGGATTTAAAAATCATGCAACATGAACATTCAAACATGCATCATACAATCACACACAAACTTAAAAAAATAGATATTTAGATAAACATACATTTGATTAATCAAGATTGTAACATTCATTATATCATCAAGAAATTCATTTCAAGGAGCATTCATCATACTAAGTTTACCTTTACTTGCATAAAATCTATCCTTATCAAGAGGTTTTATGAAAATATCAACTAATTGATGCAAGGTATCAATATATTCAAGCACAATATCACTTTTTTGAACATGATGTCTAATAAAATGAAGCCTAATTTCAATATGTTTGGTTCTAGAATGTTGAATTAGATTTTTGGTGAGATTGATGGCACTAGTATTGTCACATTTAATGGGAATATGATCCATGGTAATTCTAAAATCCTCTAATTGTTGCTTAATCCACAAAACTTGAGCACAACAACTATCGACCACTACATC